ACGTTCAACCATTTTTTTACAATAAAAAAAACAAGTCTGTAACTGTCTCGTCACTCAAGGTTGTACCACCGTAACGTTCTTCATTACTAACTTGGACAGGAGTTGGCGTAATTCCTCTTTTTTTTCATTATTCATCTGGAATAATTGTACAATTGGGTTACAATTCTCGTCTTTTGAAAATTTCTCTAACACTTCCATGTGATCCAAACAAAGATTATTATTCTAATAATACTCACTCTGCCATATAAGTAAATAACTTATGTTGTATATAAAGAAAAAATATTGCTTACCCAAAAAAAGCAGTTTGTTCTTAATACATCATGAACATGCTTCCGTTTAAGTGTTAACTACATGATGATTTTTACAGATTATGCCACAACAGCATCCTCTCCCGTAAACAAGAACATTACAGAGAATGAAACACAACATTCCACTGATTGTAACAATATGAGTAAGCATGATGTTATACTTTGACCAGAACTCTTGTGCGGAGTCCGCCTCAGACGTCTATTGACTTCCACTAATTTATATGACGGCTCAAGACCCTTATAAACTTGCCGCAGTCGAGATGGCTGGGAGGGGGTTTGTCGAGATGGGCTGTAATAAAAATTTTACTACCATCAACTCTATTACGTTAAAGACTACAATTCAACATTACTGCCAGACATACAAGTTTACGAACTAACGTTGTTGTTTTTTTTTTTTTTAAACGGGACACATGCTTTCACAGATTTCGTTTCTTGATAAAAGGCACAAGGATCTTCTAGTCTGGAATTTTAAAAAATTACATCTTTAAGTAAAAATTGTCAAATTTAAAATTTCACCACCCAGCCATTTTTAGAGAAAGAAACTCTTAAAACATTCTTGAGTTTTTTGCAAATTTGACAACGTAATAATATAAAACTAAAAACTTTTATATACAATTCCAAGCTCTCACCTTAAAGTATTGTGGCAAATTTAAGAACAAAAAACTAACATGCAGTTATATTTTTACTTTGTGATACAAATATATAGGATGTCATTTTAAATAATTTACTTGTTAAAAAAAAATATCATATTGGTCCGTATCAAAAATTTTCACCTAATTTTCACCTCCAAACCGTTGCATTAAAAATTCAAGTGAGTCGATTGTTTTTAGAGAACCTTTTTTTAACTCCGCTTTCTATTGCCACAAAATCATTTGTTAAAAATTTGTTTTTATTTTATTGTTTTTTTAGTACTCTACATCATACTCATAATATTGGCAATTTTGATGACACTATCAATAATAATCTACTTTTGCTGTAAAGACCGACTGCATTGTCCAAGATGTACATCGGATTACTATAATAATTTCAAGATCGCTTATACAGAAAACAATGGACAAGAGACAACGTTTATCAATCCGCCAGAAGAATCACCTACAAATGCAGTAGTTCGAATTATGTAAATTTGGGTTTTACAAAGCTGTATGTTTTGTCTGTATATTTATGTGTAGCAATAAATTATTTCTTTAACGTTCGTTAAAAAAAGTGTAACATTTTTTATTAATTTTTGCTTATAAAAGATACGTTTATCTCATCGCACTACAAGCGTAAAAAAAGTGTCATAGCGTTTCATTTTTTCACGCATTTTTTCTCGGTGTGTTGTGGTAATTTGTGTGTTCGGACAATGGAATCGGACAGGTATGAAGATTTCTCGTGCACCCCCAAAAAAATTGTCAAGACGGCAAATACGGTTACATTTAATATCTATGTTCCAGAATAAAAAGTTTTTGAAATTGGTGGGTGTTGAGTTTTGTTACGAACGCAAAAAAAATTTTGTATGCGACTCGTGAGTAAAGTGGTTTTTTTTTACTCGGCGGATTTGCGCACTCGCCTTCGGCTCGTACGGCAAAGTTTCCTTCTCATAAGAAAAAGATTCACTTTACTCATTAGTTGCATAAATAACTAATTACGAAAAAAATAGTTGCTTTATTTTATATTATTTTTCAAATGGGTTTAATAATTAATAATAATTAATAATTAATATCCAACACCTCTTGATTATAAGGTCATAAAATTGCCTATTTTGGACACATTAGAAGGCCCATAAGTTACTAGTGGAATTATGAATTTATAATTAAACTGTTTTTTCATAATTAAGTTAATTAGTTTAGAGAAAATTCAACAATTTATTGAAAACAAAGAAGTTTAATACATAAAATTAGAATTATATGAATTAAACTTAAAAAAATTTTTGCATTTAATAGGTACATATACAGCAATTTGATGTAAGTTTATATGTGTTACTTTAGACTCATGAGTGTGTTGTTGAGATACATTTGAGTTCAATATGTTCTCCAGGAAGGAATTATTCTCTCTTCTTCGCCAAAAACGCGAACAAAATCACTCAGTCCAGAGGGAGCATTTAATTGCTCATCTAATAAAGTTTTACTATATTGAAGACAAAGAAACTTTAATTCTTGAATTGAAGAAAAATGATAGACGGCTGTGTTCTGAATTTTCCTCAAGACTTGACAAGTATAATAGATATGAAGAGCGATTTTTTAAGCAAAATGCCTTATGGTTGGTAGCACAGGAGAAGTTAGTATCTTGGAAAGCAGAGACTCCTTCTACGTCTGTACCTACCTTCGACATCGAAACCTTCAATAACTTCTCTAGTGGGCCGACCTAGAGTATCATTTGAAGTTTAGACATAAAAAAATGGCAAGTAAGAACCGCCGACAAGGCAGGTGTAGAAGTACGAAAAAAAAATTCAAGTAGAATTTCGTAGCAAACTTGGGTTGATTGTGGACCAACCGCGGGCAGGAGGAAGCGGAACATCTAATGGGAACACTGCAAGGCGATTTTTTGATACTCCTAATATTTCAGCAGAGATCACTGGAGTATAGGAAAATTTAATCTACAGCTTTTCTGTGATTTTTAAACAATTGCTTGTGGAGAAGAAATACAATTAGAAGCATACAATGCATACGCCATTGAAACAGCGAAAATGTTTGGCGACGAATATGGATGGTTTAACATGCATATCACGGTGCATAAAGTTCTAATTCATGGCACAATTATTATTTCATCAACTTTGCTTCCTATTGGGCAGTTAACAGAAGAGGCACAGGAGTCTAGAAACAAAGATATCCGAAAATATCGGCAATAGCATACGCGGAGATCTTCCAGAATAAACAGCAATCAGTATCTTTTAAATAGGCTTCTTCTGTCATCTGATCTCTTAATAACTTCTTTAAGGAAGGTCCACAGAAAGAAAATTAAAAAAATGCTACCAGAAGCTCACCAACTTTTAAAAAACGAATTAGAAGAAAGTAATACCGAGGAAACAGAAACGACAATTTCATCCGCTGACACAAATAATGAAATCAGTTTCGAAATGATGAAATTTAATAATTATGTATACATATATTTCTTTTAAGCAGGCTAGTTATTTTTTTGCTCTGATTGTTTCTTAATTCTTATTATATTAATAATTATTATTAAACACTAACAATTTTTAAGCATGACAATTTTTATCTTGTAATCTAATTATTTATTTTATTACCATATTTCAGCAAATTTTCGATCACAAATTTAGCAATCCATGTTTTAAAATAAAATGAATGCAATTTGACAAAGATCATCAAGTTTTTTAATGAATTTGGACTGTTTCAGAATTTTGGCGACATATTTTTGAATTCGTCCCACTGTGCATTGACGTTAAAGAAGTAACCCAATAGCGCGTCTTCGCTTACACCAGAAACATTGTTTTCTTGCTTCCAGTTATTGAAGTAATTTAATTCCTTGTAATAAGCGTCCCTGGATTTCTTCGGTAACAAACTCTATGTGGCTTCTTCAACATCTTTCGCAATACTTTCCGGAAGAGCACGTTTTCTTTCCATATGGATCAATATGACGGGTGCAGAAGCCGGTTATTTTCAAAAATTTTCTCAACTTGACGTGAACAAACAACTGCTCTCCCAAAATCTTTGCATAGAAAATGAAGCAAGGGCAACTGAAGCATTTTACAGTAACACCAAACTGACAATAAGACAATGCGGTTTGTACATTTTTAGCGGCATCGCCAGACGGCTTAATAAACAAAAACGCTATCGTAGAAATATATAAAATGTCCAATTTAAATAATGCTTAATTCAACGAGATGATAAATTTTGGGAAAATAATATGATAGAGCCCTAGAAAAATTTTATTTATATGCCTTACTTCCCGAGAGACTAGATTCTCGTTATTAAACAAGTCAACCCATTAGACAAATTGTAAAAAAAAAATATGAATTCCTTTTTTGTGCTTTTTGTGCTTCAAATACTTCTAAGTGTAGTTTACTCCAACAAAAGTAAGTAATTTTTTGATTTTCTGCTAGTGTCAAAATCATTACGCACAAACATGAAATCTGTGAAAAGTTGGATTATGCAACATGATGCAATTAAATAGAAAAATATTTTTCAAAATTCTGTAGGCCGTTCTACTACTTCGTCATTTCAATTTTTCCCGGTGTATGAATTTGACACGCGAGATATCATAGAGGAACTCACCGTACAACGTAAACAGAGATAAAGCGTTAACTGATAACGAACATCGTTCTATTCTGGTACAATTTACTCAAAAAGTTATATAATAATATTAAATTTCTGTGAAGTGAGATACGATTTTAGTGAAAAACAAGTTTTCTGTTAATTCTGCTCTTGGTGGAATTTAAAAAATGGTGCCGTGTGCGGATTTAAGGGTATGTTAAAAAATCCTTTAGTGGCATATGGAATCTGGTCAGCTAAAATTTATCAATTTAAATGAACAACGAATAGTTTTGTGTAAACAGGGATCTGGTAGAATCTGCTGACGTTTAAAAAACGCCAGTTTTCGTCTTTAGTGCGAGCTTCACGATTAGTTTACATCACAAAAATGATCTTGCGTCCTTTATTTTATTTTGATTTTTATTTATTATTAAATTTATGACTTATTTCTTTTCTCTTATTCTACAAATTCTGCTCTGTTTAAAAAATTAAATGTTTAACTGACAAGACGTCAATTCTAAGATTGTTCTTATTATCTCATCTATCAGTTGCCATGCGCCAACTTAAGTAAATTAAACCCACTAGATGGTGCATCAGGTACAGGTACTGTCAAAGTCAAACGATCAGTCAAGTTTACAAGATGTGCTTCTTAGTAACACTTTTGACACTTACCGTGTTTTCTGTATTCACGCCTGCCTTCAACATGCCTGGTAAGTAGTTACAAACAAACACATTACATAAATATGCAAAATTCGCAATTTATTTTCAAATTCCGACATACCGTCGTTTCCAAAAAATTTCAGGCAAATGACATTGACATGAAAGTCCCATTGCTTTTCATATATAAGAACCTGATTTTCTTATCTTGCCCGAAATTTTTTGGATACGACTGTACGACTTGTAAATTTCCAATCCGTGGAAGAAAAATATCATCTTATATCTTTTTTCCATGGAAATAAATTCATGACGAACTTCGTTTTTTCGTGGAATGATCAATTTAGTAAAAGTTACAATCAGACACACCCATCTTGGGTCTATATTGTCCACGAAGTCAAAAACTTTCCAAGCTATATTTAGAGCAAGTCATGTGTAAATAACAACAAGTAACACACCCACGTAATATTTGCATTATTATTGTACCTGTATGTTATAAATAGGACAACAATTCCTCTCGCGCTATCATTGATGAATTCCTCTCGCGCTATCATTGATGAAGATTTTAGGTTCATAATTTTTTTTTATTTTTGGACGTTGTATGTTTCACTTCAAGCTTTTTATTTATTTCGGATTCGTTAGTTATAACAAATTCAACACGGTCTGCTGACTTTTTAAGGATTTCTAAAACACTCGGATGGCCAGTCCTTTTATTGTCTAAATTCTCTTCCTCCTTGTTTGTTTTCACATTCTTTTGTCCAGTAGTCCAGTTAAAGTTAACATTTTTCCTACTTAAAATATTTAACGTTGTGGCAATTTTAGCAAAATTTAACATAAAATTTATTTCTTTAAAAATTCGCACTTGATAGAAGAGAGCTTTAAATTTACGTTTGGGAGCCTCCCAAAAACTTTAATTAAATTAGAATTGTGATCGTTCGAATTTCTTCCAAAAACTATTAAATCATATATGTATACAAAACAACTTTCATAATTTAGGCCTGACATTGCAATGTGAAAACGCACTAGGAGTTGTTTTAAACCCATTGGATGCCTCTTCATTTGAAATTATACTGTGAAGGGATAACTATCTTTATCTAGTTTTACTCGATAATAACCCTGACTAAGATCGACTTAAATGAGAAAAATACATTGCTCTGAAAGTGAGTCAAAAATATTTGTTATATAGGGAAGTGGAAATTTATCATCTTGAATTTTTCGATTTAAAAGACGAGAGTCGACCATTTCTTTTGATTACTTACGCCTACCTTTTTAGGTACTTGGATAATTGGTGATGACCATTCGCTTTTTGCAGGTTCAATACTGTTATTATCACATATATGACGTATCTCGTCGCCTGAGAACTTGTTTGATCTACAGACCAGAGCGCACTCAGGCCAATATCGACCCTAAGCGATTTATCTATAAGCCGACTTTCGTTAGAGCTAATCTGATACACATCCACTACGAAGAACTAACTAACTTTACAACGAATAAACAAACAAAGTTCTTGAACATCTTAATGTTATTTCTCGACTTTAGATGTTTCAATTTTTCAATATTTCAATTTCTCCATTCTTCAAATTTTTTATTCGATTAATTTACTTTTCGATTTCTCAATTTTCCGATGTTTCAATGATATGGTTTCTCAATTTTTGTTCTTTCAAATTTTACGGTTTTTAAATATTTGGATTTGTCAATTTTTCACATTTGGACGTTTCTAAATTTTCAGTTTTCCGATTTCTGAAATAATCTTTTCTTATTTTCCCATTTTTCGACTTTCCAAAGTTTTGATTTTTTCAATTCTTCAATTTTTTTTGAGCTTATTTTCGACTTTGCTTTTTTATTTTTTCGATTTCTCGATTGGAAATGTTTTTCAGTTTCGGAATTTTTTAATATTTCGATTTTTGGACTTTTCGATTTTGCACTCCTGGATTTTTTTATTTCTCGATTTTTTACTTTTAGGATTTTTAATTTTTCTTCTCTGCTCTCGACTTCTCGACTTTTTCGATTTTTTACTTTTGGACTTTTCAATTTTTCGAATTTCCAATGTTTCGATTTTTCAGTTATCCGATTTTTCAATTTTTCATTTTTTTTAATTCTGGAATTTCGATTTTTCGGTTTTTAAATTTTAAATTCTATATTTTCAAATCTTAATTTTTTGATTTTGCTATATGTGTTTTAATTGTTCGATGTTTTAAATTTTAGATTTTTCGATTTTTCGATTTTTTTATTTTTCAGTTCATCACTATTTCTATTTTTCAATTTTTCAAATTTTGACGTTGCTAAATTTTCTTCTTAAAGTTTCGATTTTTCTGCTCTTCAATTCATCGATTTTTCGACTTGTTTTTTTGGTTTTTCGATTTCACAATTGGATATTTCTTTCAGCTTTGGGATTTTTCAATATTTCGTTTAGTCGATTTTTCGCTTGCTGGATTTTTCGATTTTTCCATTTTTATTTTTTGGATTTTCAGTTTTTTGTTTTTTAAGATTTAGATTTTTTAATTTTTCGACTCTTTTATATTTCGATTTGTCAATTTTTCAACTTCTCAATTTGTCATTTTTTCGATATTTTAATTTTTAAAATTTTGGATTTTTCGATTTCTCGAGTTTTCAGTTCTTCTATTTTCTTCTTAAAGTTTCGTGTTTTCTGTTCTTCAAGTCTTCGATTTTTCGACTTTGTTTTTTTGGTTTTTCGATTTCACAATTGGCTATTTCTTTCAGTTTTGGGATTTTTCAATATTTTGTTTATTCGATTTTTCGCTTGCTGGGTTTTGCAATTTTTCCATTTTTATTTTTTGGATTTTCAGTTGTTTGTCTTTTAAGATTTAGATTTTTCAATTTTTCGACTCTTTTATATTTCGATTTATCAATTTTTCAACTTCTCGATTTGTCAATTTTTGGTCTTTACGATATTTTAATTTTTAAAATTTTGGATTTTTCGATTTCTCCAGTTTTCAGTTCTTCTATATTTTAATTTATCAATTTTCGAAATTTTTAAATTTTCGATTTTTCAATTTTTTGAGATTTTGGTTTATTGAGATTGGGATGTTTTGATGTTTTGATTGTTCAATCTCTGGGTTTATCAATTTTTTTATTTTTAACTTTTCGATTTTTCGATTTTAGTCTGTGGTGGTTTTTTTCGTTTTTTAATTCAGGAATTTTTCGATTTCTCGACTTTTTAGTTTTTGGATTTTCAATTTTTCGTTTTTTAAACTTTAGATTTTTCAATTTTTCGACTGTTTTATATTTCGATTCTCAATTTTTCATTGTTTTTATGTTGTTATCTTGTTGAATTATAGTGTCAAGAGGTAAACAATGGATCCCAGCAAACACAAAACGATAACAGTTAGATAACGACAACATAATAGTGTTACAAAAGATGTAACAGATTATATAACACTATAATAACATCAACATAACACTTATATAACTTTGTTACTGTAACGTTCTGCAAATGTTATGTAGACGTAACATAAAATAAATGTTAAACATTTTTTAAATGTAACTGAGCTGCAACAGTTATATAACAGGATTATTAATAAAAACATAACATCAACATAACGTCTGTATTCCAATTTCCACTTCAAGCAACCATAACGCAAATTACGTTATTTACTGAACATATAAAATCGTATCCTGGATTCTTTTTTAATAGAGAACATAATTTTTGGAACGTCATTTCCCCCACCTTTCCTGGTATGTTTTTTAAAGATGTATACACTTTTTCCACAATTTCCATAATTTGGTTTAATTTTAAACCTATAATTTTAAAGTGAGTTTTAATGTAGAAAGTTCATTTTTAACGTTTGCTTTATTCAGGAATTCTTGAGCTTTTTTAATGCTTTGTACATCTGTGGCTTCAAATGACATTACAACCGAAAAATATTCAATATAAGAATGATAATAAAAAACCATTATATATTTACTAACTTGTTTTAAAACATCAAAGTGTTCTGCATAAAACAATGCTGCTTGAATCCAAGTGCCCCACCTGGTTAATACAGGTTCAGGTGGGAGAGGTGTATTTGGTAAACTGTTTTAATAAAACTCTACTCTTATTGGTGCTTTTAAAAAGATTTTCTTAACATTGCTAATTATCCCATTGACATCTGGATAATTCAGTCTAACTGTTTCAGACACTAAATGTAACCCATGTGCCATACATGTTAAGCGTGTTATATTTTCATAAAACACCTTCAAATTAGTACCAGTTTTGATCATGTATGAAGCACCATCTGATAAAAACCATTTAACGTTTTTGTGTTCAGTTCCTTTTGGCCACAATAAAGCTACAAATTAACAATTAAATAAATTATAATAATTTCAATGCTTAAAATTATCAATAGCACACCCAATGATTCGTTTCTAAATCTCGAGATTGTGTTGCTATTAGTTTTATCAAGCTGCTTCAAAGCTAGTAGAAATGGACGGTCAGCTTCTTCAGAACATAACTTTCCAATTATTAAATGGGCTATGTATCTTCCTAATCTGTCCGTCGTATCATCGACGCTAGTCCATATATCATTATTGCCAATAGAATTTCTAATTTGTTTAATTACCTGTAAATTATAAAATTTATGTTAAACAATTTTTGAATAAAAATTCTAGTGCTCACCATATCGTAATCTTTTGGTTAATATTTTTTTCTCAGAGTACTTTCTGAGGGTAAATGCCTTCCTGTATATTTATGCATACATTTTTTAAACTCAGGACAACTAACTCTATTCCATGGAATATTTGCTGCGGTAAATGCCCTACATAAATCGGTGCAAAATTGCGTAAAATCATTGTCGGAACTAATGTTTAATAAAGTCTGTTTACTGGATTTATTCTCGTTCTTTTTATGTGCATCGCCACTGCAGTGTTGTTCAAAGTGTGATTTTTTTTCGCACTTAAACTAGGAAACAAAAATGTGAACATAATTCAAACTTCAGTATTTTAAATGTTTACTTACAAATTTTCCACACACTTTGCAGTATAATTCATTGTCTTTGGTTGAAGAAGGAAATTGAAAATTAGTGTCCAAATTATTCCCTAACTATATTTTGATTTTATCTTTCATGGATGATTTTTTCTTTACTGTATGTACAAAAATCAAAACCGGCCCCAGCACACTCACTAACACGCAAAGACACTCAGTATCACTAACAATAAACTTTTAAAATAAAATGCTTTTTCAGAGATTCATCTCCTTCCGGCTAGAATCTGAATGAAATGCAGGCCAGCGTTGTCAATTGGCGACGCCAACCCGTACCATTAGACTCAAGGGCGTTGTTTACAACCCATTTTTAAACAATCTGCCAGCCAAGGCAATGAATTTACGAAAAATCTGTATTGTGCAAGCACGTCTGCTTCGTTGGTCGTGGAATCCTATTTTAAGCCTTTTAAAATTTTCAATTAGGTCGTTTATTTAATACTTTAGGTCTCTAACGGTAAATGAGGCATTTTAGGTAGTAATAAGTGGCCGTTAAATAAACAGAATTTTTTAAATTCGGATAAATATATAAATTTCGCTGCAATGCCTGAAGTAGATATAAAAAGGCAAAAACCTAAAATCCGAATTCTGCTTATTAGAAAAAAAAAACCATTTCAGAAGAATGTTAATGAAATTAAAGCGTAAAAGCTGAAAAAGTTTTCGGAAATGTATGTTACGCCTTATGACTGTCTTTGTAGACCAAAATAGAAACCTCAATATCGTGTCCACGTTTTTCAACATTAATTGTTATCGTTTTAGTAGGTGTTCCTCAAGGCAGTCGGACGTTCAACGGTGCTTCTATCACACTCAAAGAAAAAAACATCACCCTTGATATTTTCCAATGTGAGCGGCTTATAATCATTGATTTGAAAATGAAGCATGGCGACACAAATTCGTCATCTAAAACTCGTCCTATCTACAGCAAAATTAATGACTGGTATCGGTATCAAATTGTGGCAGGGAATGAAAAAATTGAAATTTCAAGAAATGGTAGTGTTATAGAAAACTTGGATGGAGCTTCGGGGGAACTGCTTTTCAGGTGTAACACAGACAACGCATTATGGAAGGTTTTCAATGGTAAGTCGTTGTAATTAATCACACAATTTTGAATGTTATAGGAATTTTGTAGTCGTAAGGAATAAAAAAAAAAAGTGGTATCGTCGGTTTTATTGCATTTGGAATGTGATGCACAATGCAAATACTAAAATTTTGCACTTATCGCTTCTAACCATGCAGTTTAAATAAAAAATGTGGAAATTTTAGATTGTTCAAATGGTCTTGAGACAACCCCATGTGATATTTCCTGCCTCCCTGACGCATGCAAAGAAGAATACGTTGACGCCTGGAAGGAAGAAGAGGTTGAAAAGACGAATATTACAAAATCTGCTGGACAACATGTGTTTTCTTCAACGGGTCTGATAGGTAAGTATACTCGTTTCGTTTAGGGTATACCTCTTAAAATTTTATGATAATATTTAGTGGAGTTGCGGTAAATTCGTTTGTTGCCAGATGCAGTTACAGGGTTTCCAGAATCGACCTGTTTCTTAAATGGGGTCCATATAATTTTATGAGGTATATCCAAAACGAAAAAACTATATTTTTTTACTATAAATATATACATACATATCTCTATCCTTTGTTGTGTTGTGAGCTTACATTATTCGCTATTATTTTGGTTTAAGCCATTTGGTTTTTCGTTGATCAAGGACTGGACATTACACTACATTTCTTGTACTGCTCTAATTTTTAAGGCATATTACCAGTTTTTGCTTTCTCATTCCCTGCTATTTAACTATGTGGCTTGACAAAATTTTCATTTCACCTTTCTTTTCAGGGTTAATCATCATAATTAACACCGTTGGAGCTCTGAGCAGTTAATGAGTACATTTATTTATACGAGTAAAATGTGGAGGTAGTTCTTTGTGAAAACGTTCTCTAAGGATTAGCTAATGTTTGATCTAACACTGACAACTGTTTAGCTAATAGTTAATGGTTTACATTTTGTTACGCATACACCTAATTTTATTAAAGATCGTTAACTTAAATGTTTGTCCACTAAAAATCACTAGTTTTGTGTGGTTTGCTGTTACTGTAAATACTGTTAAAAATAGGTGTGCAAGAATTTGTGTTCAAAATCTGTAGATCATATTACTAAATAGCAGTTTTTTTTTTAATATGCGTGTAACTCCGATACACTTTACATGCTTAAAGTTTTACGAGAGTTGATTTTAAATTGGTGTATTTAAATATATACTGACAGACGATATATCTATGTGGCGATGCAAGAATAAGTAGGAGTAAGCGAAGAAAGATAAGTGGTCTCGTGGTCCAGTGGTCAGGATACCTGCCCGGCAAGCGGGGGGCGTGTGGTTCAATTCCCACCGAGGCAGTAACATTTCTCTTCGCTTACCTACATGTACATACTTTTAATAAATACATAAATTATTCCTGTTTATAATTCTTGTTTTTATACTTCCCCAGCGTAAGCTTAGAAATTATTGTAATAAAGCTCATCGTGCGAATGGGTACTTTCATTTTTACTTCCCGAACGTAAGAGAAGGAAGTATTGTAATCGAGTTCGCTGACCGACTCTCTACTTTTACGTTTTCTCGACTTTTCATGACACCTACAGGACGAAGAAATAGGTCCCCGTTTCCATCTGTCTGTGTGTCCGTCGGTCCATTTCTCCATCTGTCTGTCGTTCCGGATTTTAATTAGACAGATAATCTCCGAAAGTACATTGCCAACTTTTGTCAAATTTTGTATTATATTAGGAATATCATGTGGGTGGTAAAATGCTAACTAAAATTTGTCTAATCATCATCACCTAAAATGTGACGATGTCACTTCAAAATTGTTCATAGTAAATGCATACATGCAAGCATTCCATTCATATTTTATTTGCTTATACAGGGTGACTCAAAAAAATTAATGAAACAGGCAGTTTAGTTTATTGAATAAATTAAGAATTGCAAGACTGAATTCTTTGAAGAAATTCTGTAACTCCTCAGAATGTTGCTTTTAACAATTTATTAAAACGAGAAAGAGTAATAATTGAAAGATGTTTTGACCAATTTAAGCAAAGATTCCCGATTCTTCAGGAGACTAGGAGATTATCTCCGACCTCAAAGTATACCAACAGTGATAGTTGTCTGTTTTGTGTTACATAATGTAGCAAAATATTTAAAGTTCTGCAGTTTGATGAATTTGAAGAGCAGAATGCAGAAAACGACTATGATGCTGATGATGGAACAGCTGATTAAATGAGAACTGAAGGACAGAACAACCGAAGACAACTGGCAGAAGTTATTTATTCTCAAATTTAATTTAATGTAATTAACAAGTTAATAATAATTATTATTATATGAATCAAATAATTATTTTAAACTCAAATTAATTTCAAAATAAATCCTTAATATAATGTAGAAGTGTGAAATCGATGGTGTTCCTATTTTAATGGCTCCTGGGATTTTGTTAAAAACAGGATTGTCGTTAGTTTTTCTTTGTAGTCCTTTCATATAAGTATTACATTTTCTGCTGGACTTAATTTGATCTTTTAATTGCCCGTTACATTCAGATCCGTCTTCCTTTTAATGTTGTTTTTTAATTTTTTTTTTCATTTTTTTACAATTTTTCCAGAAGTTTTTTCAATTTCTTGGATCAACAGCTGTAGCGTTTCTGTTTTCTTTGCTTTCACTGAAGGTATCTGGCTTTTATTTAGAATTGCTGTATATTTTTGTACAAATACACTGTATAAGTAAGTTTCATATTCAGAACTTTTTTCTTTCTTGGAAACGGGCACGATCCAGTTCACTCAACAGGTAGCAAAACCTTATGGCCTATAGAAATAAGCATTTGCTTTTAGTTGAAGCTTTTACTGATAACTATCATTAAGTTTACATAAATGAACTAATCGCATGATTTTATAGCATGGGAGGGATGCACTCGATATCTTTTTTGATAAAAATATATTTTCGCTCGAATCTATCGCGAAATGCTTCATTTTCGAATAAAGAATGTTGTTTTACTGTTTCTTCACACTCAAATAATACTAACAATAATAATTAGTCATTTTTCACGGTCATTCTCTGAAGCGAAGTGCAAATCAGCTTTAAACTTGGGTGCGAAAAATTATTCAAACCAAAATATATCGAATGGATGGAGAATACTAGATTCCAAAAATTGTCCAATAGGGCCTGTGCATGACGACAGATGGCAAGGTAAAACACTTTTTATTTATTATTGTTTTGAAAGATTAAATTTTGCATATACATTTAATATTAGGTGTGTAAAATGAGTAATACATTTTTTTGCAATTTTAAAATGATACTTGAAAGTATTGCGAAACACTTGTTACATAGATATAACAAATCTAGGTTGGAGATTATTGCAGGTTTGCAAACTAACACTAACGTGGCAAGGTGATAAACAACAAAATTTCCTTCTTAAATAAAGTTTATTTGTCCATCTTGCGCATGTCTCATCAGTTATCACTGATAAGATATTGATTATTACTGGTACTGATGAGTGATGAGTCATCAGTATGATTAATAATACAGTATAACAGTGTTTTTCTTACATATATTTTCTAAATATGGTCGGAAAGGTAATTTTGTGCTGAACAATTCTTAAAACAGATAATATATCCATGTCGTCAAAAAAAAATTATTCAAATTTTTATTGTCGTTCGGTGAACAATTAGAAAAAATGAAGTGAATTCTAATTTTACATAGAAAAACGCGCAAGAAGCACTAAAAAAATGTTCCACAGATTTCTGTCGACAGATATTTAATTACGTCTACGAATATTTAACCTGCCTAGAATATGTAGAAGGATCTAACTCTTTATAAAAGCCTCATGTATTCGGAAAGAATGGATATTTGGGTCTTTCTCTTAAATCTTTCTTCGACTTTCTTGATTTCTCGATGAAAAGATTATCAGCAAAGAAATTTAAATGAAACATAATTTGTGGAACGTTTGTTTCCTAAAAATTCACTGATCATTAAGCCAATTGATTCCCAAGTAAATTTTTCCATATCATTCAAATAGGCGTAGAACATTTAATCCTTCATTCGAATTTCAGACCCAATCAAAATTCCTAAATATAGAAAACGTACATAATATGGGAACTGAAATTCACTGTAATATTTTAGTTTTTACCTTGGTTTATGTTAGCAGCAGAAAACTTAGGAAATATTGTTTTCAGATGTTGAAATGCTTTCTCTCTTGTATTTCACTTACATAAGAAGCACACATGCGTGGTATATCCAGATTGGAAGCCAGTTACTAAAGCTACAATTTTTAAATCGCCTATCAAATTGCACTGAAACTTTTTGTCGTTAATACAGTTTAACAAGTGTTGAATATTCTCATATGTTTCTGCAGTTTTGAAGAAATTTTTCTAAAATTGTTCAACTGGAATAATTGCAACATAACTTGTTTTACCCCCTCTCTGTTTTCTCAGAGGGCATGGCATTTGCTAAAATCAGTCTTATCTTAGCAAGTACTGGCTAGATTAGATGAGTCGTTAGTTTCACTAATAATAAAATAAATGTTCTAATTACCTTCAACTATTTACATACATATATTTATGTAGTAAGAAAGAATGGATGATATGATAACAGTGAAACTGCATATTGATAAAATTTATAATAACTAATGGCATTTTTTGGACAAGCTATTAAAACGGGTGTATAGTATTTGCCATTTCTATTGAAACACCACTTGTTAATCGTAAATTTGGCAACGTTCATATTCAGACGATTTTCTAACTAAAAGCCGTTGTCAATCAACCGAAAGCTGTTACCAATTGCTAAATTTTAAGCAAAATCAACAGGTGGTGTTTCAATAGAAATGGCAAAGACAATACAATAAAAATATATTTGGAGCATGCTATCAAAATTCAATTGTTTTGTTTACGGCTTTCTAGAGTGTAGAGAAAGTTGCGTCAAAAACTGACAGTTATTGATAATTACATTTAAGAACAAAGGTTAGAAAACTTTTTCTCATTTTAGTACAAATCTCCTTAACGCAGATTATTGACATAAAATTGAATCGGAAAAACCTAATAATGTATGCTTCTTTGAAAAAAAGAATTTTTGCGGTTTTTGTTTTCTGATAACCTCTATGAAGTAAAAAGCAGTGAGTATATAACAACAAATTGCAAAATCAAAAAATCTAATTATTGAAAATTAAAGAAATCGAAAAATCGGAGAATTGAGGAATCCAAAATTTGAAGAATTGAATATATGAAAAATGATAAATTCGAAAGAAATACTGAAAAAACTAAGGAAATGAAAGAACGAAAAATTGCGATACAAAATGGAAATTAACAAATTGGGAAAATGAAAAATAAAAATCAAAAATTTGAAAATTTGGAGACACGAGAATTTTAAAAATTTGGAAGTCAAGAAATTGAAAAATTGAAAAAAGTTGAAAAAACGAAACATTATGAACCGAAACATTGAAAATTGGAAAAATTGAAAAATGAAAGCTAATCAAAAAAGGAAAAATTGTGATATCAAAAATCGTAAAATCGAAGAGAATAAACAAACGAAAAATTTAGATATCAAAAACTGGTTGATGGTAAATAGATCTAGATTTGTCTGAAAATGATAAGATTTGATTTTGCGAATTATAATGGCATTTCGCTCATGTATGATATGCGACGTCTTATCCTCCAGCAGCTTTTACATAAAAGTAAGAATAAGATGGATCCAAATTATTAATTTTAATTAAAATAATTAATGATATTTAATTTTTGTCTCGTAAAACAGTTGCTCATTCAATATTATTTGCTTCTATTTTTTCTAGCTGATATTCTAATACTTCTGAAATCTTAAAGACAAATTTCAAAATTGCTCCTATTTTCATGTCATGTACCTCACACAGGTATTTTAAGACACTTTTATTATAAATAAAATCCTTAAGAATTTTCCACAGGATTTTTTTTAATTATACTTAAGTACGTGGTGTATCTACTTCAATAAAAGTTTTGTCCCGAGTTGGATTTTACCTTAATGGTTAAGACCTGCAATTGAATTTCCTTGCATTATTTTCTGTGAGGATATCTGTTTTTAAAGTAACAGTCAAGATTTTAAACTTTAATTCGTGTAATTAATACTTTTAATTTTTACAGACTTTGTTACAACAGACAATAGCCGCTATCAACGTTTTGAGGGTGTAAGTTCGGTGTCATTTTCAATAAACTGTAAAATTCCTCTTGTGTTAGAATATTTTGCGGACGATGGAGATAGACTGGATTTTCTGTCACTGAATTGTTCGAATACTAAAGAAACATGGGAAAATTTTTCCTTAATAGTGCAGGATCACACATACTTTTTTCAAAATGACCATCTAGTCAAAACCACTAGTAATTTAATTCCTGAGCAAGTGGTCTTCAAGACTTCTAAGGATACAGAATGGAAGATACAGAATTGTATGCAGTTAAAGCTTATTGTTATAAACCCTAATTAGACTAATTTTAGATACATTAGGCTGGAGTAGATCCGCTACAGAACAATTTTATATTTCAATTCCAGTAGAAATTCCAACGTTGACAGTATTCACCCTTCTGTGTGGAACATGTGGTTTAACTATAGCATCCGGCAGTGCAGATGAAGTGAATGTCACATCATCTAAAAATGAAACTTATTTATGGGAGCAGTCTTGGCAACGTACTGACATAAAACTGAGTAAATCTGTTTATCTTAATTTCACACCATACCTGCAAAACCCTCACGTTACGGATCAATATTGGGCTATTGATGTAAGAACGTGTTCAGGTGATGAAAAAAAAACGAACTGGTAATAGATTAATTAAAAGTTTAATTTTAACTGCTTTAAAAATACTCGTTGTAGGCCAAAGCATACTGCAACGTTTAGAAGGTAATTCAATAGTTTTAAGCAATTTAATATTAAATACTCTTTCTGTCCCAAAAAAAGGGTCCGATTTCTGTATATTGCTAAACACACTGATCGGCAAAACAAAACGGCCACCCTAAAATATTTCGCGAAACCACTGTAAAAATTGTACTTTAACTAGTGACTGTATTTATCTGTCTCTGTTTTTACTTAATTTTTACATCCTGGGTCAACAGTGAATAGTTATTTAAAGAAAATAACAATCACAAGTTAAATTAATGATTTTTAACACGATTTTGCGAAATATTTTAGGATGGCCATTTTTTTACCGGTTTTTTACCATGTATTTGATATATATCAACGCAACATTTTAATGCAAAGAAACTTTGAAGATGTTTGTTTCAGTAACAATAAGTCTTTGTGTCTAAAAGAATTTAAAATTAAAACCAGTTGCCCCAATTCAAAGAAAAAAGCCTAATTTAATAGAAAAAGCTTGTCAGGAAATCTACCAGTTTCGTCTTGAAGTGTAAGAAAAGTTTAAGCGCAGACCCATGCAATCTACAGCTACACAGGATGATCTCGTAGTAGTGTGGACATATAGAAAAACCAAATTAAAAGTCGAAAAACCCCTATGAACTACCCTCGATCCACCTTTTAAACGGTAGGTGAAAAAACGTAAAAAGGTTCCGGGAGTCCCATGAACTATAACGGCTACCACTTCCACTCGTTGTTGAAGATCTTCGACACTTTCTGGACACAGTTGATTTCCATAAACTAACTGTTTCATCCAATCCCACAAATAAAAATTACACGGAATGAGATCGGGTGAACACTGGGCCGTTTTTACCGACCCACTGGTTTGAAAAATGGTGTTCAACCAAAACGTGGCATTTCCATCAGCCATATCATACAGCATTATCATGCTGACACGCCCTGAATTGGAAAAAATCACCATTGTCAAAGACGTTAACCGAACATACGCCGGCAACCAACTGATACATGACGTTATCGTGTTTTTGCACGTTGCTTATCAGTGTCTGACTTTTTTGGTTTTTAATGCTAGTCGTTCTATGCAATTCATAGTAACAGTTACGGTAGCTCAAGAAATACTACCAGTGGCGTGTATAACAATTTATATTTATTGTCAAATAATTTTTTCTAGACATTGCTGCCACTTAGGAAAGTGAACTTTACACAGTGCAATAAATCTTATTGTGAGCTATTCCCCATTCTATTTATTGTAGATATTTTGAAATCACCCTGTAGAATATTCTACTTCGACGAAAACTGTTCCTCGAATTTGGTATGGAGGACGATTCTTAAAAGTTTTTTGCTTTTATATTGTTGAGAATAACGGAATAAATACGTGAAATCTCAGAACATGTATTTTATTGACATAATAGGTAAGGAAAACAAACTGAAAATACAACCAAAAATTATCTACATATTTTGATTAGTTGCAAGGAGAGTTGAACATGTCATAAATATGTCAAACTTATTATAAGATGCTGTATTTGTTGCAATAATAATAATCCTTCATTAATAAATACAGTTTCCTTTTATGTAAAAAAATCGAATTTTTTGAAATCAGACACTTGGTTTGGCACAGTGGGAGTAGATATTATTTTATAATTTTTTTTAATGAATGTTTACATTTTCCAGGCGGAACATCATCGTCACAACACAGTTGCAATTTGGAAAAAATTGCATTTGTATTGGTACTTATAATCACCAAAGCTTAGTTTCGTTCAGGAGAACTGAATTAGCGAAGCCGCGGGCGAAAAGGTAGTTAAGAATAAAAGGTTTCTTTATGTATTATAATATAATTATTAGTTGTACTGTGGCCATTTTTCTTCCATATGAAGTAATAAAGTAAAGTTTGTCCAGAATTATAAGAATTTTATGGATTCCCAATGTTAATTCTTATAATTCTGGACAAACTTTACCTACATACAAATTCAATAACAATCTAAGCTGAAAGCAAGTCCCTGAATTTTTTACTTTCTAAAAAGCAAATTCCACTGTCTTCATTTACAAGTTTTTAAAGGACCCGATATCAACGTCATTTATAGTCCCAGACCAACTTCCAAAAACCTTGAAGGAAAAACTTGACTTAACATGAATTAGTGTTTTAGGTCCGGATGAGCATTTGTTGTGATATAATAAATACTTATATATACATAATAGCAACAAAATAGTACTATACTCAGGATCACGAAGCAATGCGTACACGTCATGGATGACGTAGATCCGTTACCAACACTAAATCAAAAATACGCGCCGCAATACGTGGCAATACGGATCAAAATCGATCAATTTGGGGGAAATTATATTGGTACGACTGATAGCGAAACATATGCTAAAGTTTTATCGATTTCACAAGTGTCATTGGTGTCAACTTTGGTTATGTTGTGTTATTGTTTGATTTTTCGCGTTTTTCTACTTTTCTGCTCGTGTAATCGTATCAGTTCTTTTCAGAACTATAACAGTTCTTTATAGAACTCCAAGCTAACTGTCCTGTACCGTGGTACGTGTCGCTTGCTTGAACGTAAACATTCCACCATGCCGAAGCCCTTGCACAAAGATGTAAAGCAAATGGACGATAATTTAGTGGACTATTTTGCTAAAGAACGCGATAGCGGGGAACCTCTTTTACCACTAACAGCTGTTCAAGACGTAAGTAGGTGTATTTTATTACAATTACTAATGCAGTCACATTGTACAGAGGGTTGCTGCTGCTCTGGGTGTATGTGTGCGAACAGTGAACTCCGTGGTACAACAAATAAAAACCGGAGAAGGTGTACATTCTCCCAAGAAATAGAGACCCCCGAACAAAGCAAGTGTGTGATATTAGCACTTCGGAGCAGTGTGCTATTCGAGAATGCTTATATGGAATGGTCGAAGAAAGTATGAATTTGATGCGCACGCCTTATAGATACTAACGACTATTTTACAGAAATACATGTTACACGATCGCCATTAATTGATTGCTTGAAGGAGAAACATATATTTGAGGGTTCTGTGAGCTCGTTAGGAAAAATTTTACATTCTCAATTGGGTTTCGTTATTCGCCAACCAGTGTACGGAAGCGTCTTATGGAATTACAACATGTTGTTCATGCAAGAACCAAATTCTTACGTGAATACATGCACAATCAGCAGAACCCAAATTCTTTGCCATGTGTATATCTTGATGAAACATGGATATTTGAAAATGGTTCGGTAGTTAGGTCATTGCAAGACGATAGTGTCATAAGTATCAGGATGTTCAAAATAGAAGGGAAAATTTAGTAATGTGTCAGTTTCACGTTAGTTATTTATTCTTCTCACTATATTTTAGGTATATTGTATTACATGCAGGTACAAGCAATGGATTTATTGATGAAGCAGCGCTAGTATTTTCTTCTAATACCAAAAATCCAGACTATCATGGCGAAATGAATCAACAGAATTTTCTCAAGTGGTTTCAATTGCTCATGAACCTTGAAGAACCACCACAGGTTATTATAGACAATGCAAGCTACCACAGTACCTTTGCAAACAAATGTCCCAGTGGTTCATGGAAAAAAGCAGAAATTCGTGAATGGCTTTAACAACATGACATAAGTTCAGATTCACAGCTGTTAAAAACGGAACTTCTTCATTTGGTTGCACAGTAATGCATATACTATTCTCTATCGTTTCATTTAAAATATCATGTTTTTCAGAAATAAACCTCCAAAAACGTATGTTGCCGTGAATTGGGCCAACAGAATGGCCATAGAGTATTGCGATTGCCGCCATATCATTGTGTGTTTAACCCTATAGAAAATACTTGGGGAATTACTACAAATTTTTATTCCAAACACATTGGGCGTGATGGTTATGGTCAAAAAATTCCGTGGAAATGTGGAAAGAAGCGTTAGCACATGTCACGCCCACAATGTGGAAAAATACTGTTGACCATGTAATAACCCAAACCTCCCGCCTTTTATTTGGCATTGAACAAAATTTGAAAAAGCCCGCTAAAGTTTAAAATTTGACCTTGGCTGTGATCGTCTACAAAAGTGGGACCCTACATTGTGTTTTGAAAACTGGCGGGAGGCGTTCGTTCATACAAATTGGCGCACTGCGGAGCGGGAAGAGTGACGGATTTAAAAAAGCTTATATTTTGAAAAAAAAAAACTATGAAAAATAAATCCAATAAGAGCTCAAGAGACCTTGGCCAAGGGCCCCAGAAGAGCTTAAAGAATTTATTCCTCAGAGAAAAAAAAACCTTTATTTTCACTCGAACCTGAGAACATAGAATAAAGATTAACAACCTTACAAGTACAACAATAAACAAAATTAAAAGGTCGCGGAATCCTCGGAAAGATAAATGGATGGCAACGTTCCAGATATTATGGCAGTGTGGCCTCTACAAACAAAATGGGGGGCGCACAGCGAACGCAGGGCGAAGGCCATACTCCCCGTTAGGGCCCACGAGGTTCTCCTGCTTCACCACTTCACGCGCGTGGTCTTACGCACCCACCTGACATAGGTTGACCTTCCTGCCCCCGCCGATAAGGCAGCTGTGTAAACTCCGAGTCAGCCAGGGTCGGAAGTCTGGCAAGAGCCGTAACCACCCGCACGGAGTCGCCGACGCCACCGCGTCCACGCTACACGACCCCCGAGTTAACTAGCGTTATCAAAATGAGTATTTGGATTTCAGACAAGCAATAAGCAAAATTTAATTGGCCACACTCCATCAATACTTGTTTTAAATAACAAAGAAATTTAAATGAGATTAAATTATGCACGTGTGATCAACAATCTTATGCAATAAAGAAAATGAAGTGAGAAATTATTCATGTTTTTATCAATAACTTTAAAGAACAAGAATTTGGAAAGAGGTTAAATTATTCACATTTTGGGCAATGATTTTATTGAAATTAAGCTACATTTACGTCGCTGATTCTTACCAAAGAAAATAAAGAAGCTATGGATTTTATTGAAATATTTATCTGACATTAAACAAAGAAGTCACGACTGCATTAAAATGATCTGGGCGAAGTTACGTTGTTGACCGAATTAAACAAACAAACCCCCCTCCCTTCAACACATCCCCAAACAAAATACCCATAAAAAAAAACATATACGAAATAAACAAACAACAGATAAAATACGACACATAAGATATGCAAAATAAATAAAATATAGGCAACCATGGGTGCACATTCGATTTGGATTATGTCTTTCTTTCAATGACATTCATTTTCAAATTCATCGACAAAGCTTCCGGTCAACAACAAATCCCCGATGACTAATACAAAAATTCACAAAGGTTGTCCTTGAAATTCCCCGGTCAACACCCCGTACTTGCACCCTACCACTTTCTCTTTCTATTTTGAACGGTTGAATATTTGAAAACTACATGAAATTTTCCAGCATTAGAGTTTACAACAAACGAATAATAAATCGAGGAAAAGCCATTCAAAAATCTTAGATTTTATAATGTCAGCCAAATTGATGTGCCTAATTAATTGATGTTACTAACACAAAGAAAATCCCCCGTCCCCCAGACTCTAATATTATTAATTTTCTAATGCCGTTCTCAGCGTTAATTTTTGTTAAAGATGCATTTGTTCAGATTACGTTTGAATTTACTTTACTCACACGTGCTGAAATTATGCAACGCAAAATAATAACTCGAAAATTGCCATCCAACTTTCCGCATAACATTCGCTAAAATAAAACTGCCCTAGCTAACGTAATTCCCTGAAAAGCCCTACTAAAACGGATTGAAATTATGTTGAAAAGATTAGTACGAAAATTAACGGCCATGGCGTCATCCGGAAGTGCCGCCATTTTTGGTAGCGTCCGTTCGCGTATGTGACGCCCGCGAAGCTCACAGGTGTGGTTCCCGCGTCTCACCTACTCCGTAACCATCGAGAAGCAACGCCGCTTCTTCCACCAGCACACACGGAATCACGTGGAAAACATACCTCTCGGATCTTCAAACCAAATACGTGCTCACCACCGAAATAACCTCTCTGTGTTCGAACGTAGCAGAGAATTCTTACGTTCGCTGGTTCGTCAGGGGGGTGGAACTCCGTTAGAAGAAACCAGCACTAGAACAGGAAACAAACAGCGCACAGACATTTGAAAAAAAACACAGAGAGCACCAACCTGACGTCTTACTCGAAAGAAAGACCAAGTCGAACTGACTGCGACTCACCCCGCTCAAACACACCCTTCTGCGCATCTCTCTCTTAGTGGTTTTCGTTTCTTTCCATTTCCATCCCTTTTCTTACCAAAAGTTTGGCGCGCGGAAATTTGGTTCGAAACGGCTTACTACAACCATATGAATAAAATAATACGGGAGTGGTGGGAACGGGAATTAGTATTTGACCGTGAAGAGATTGCGCCGTTTATAATCGACATTAACGAAGATTCACATTATAGTTTTAGTGATTATGACAGTGAAGATTCTAATACTGCAGAGGGCATTCAGCCACTGTAACATGTAGGTTATTTTCCATTACCATCCTAATTGATTGTACTAGCGGCATGTTCTGCTGATGTCTTTTATAATCACACTATCACTTCACTGGCCAAATATACAAATCACTGGTCAGACGACGACGGTGTGCAACATGCATACTTATTATTGTTTATACTTTACTTTTGTATCTATTCCATGTCAATAAAGTAACTTATTCTGTAGATGTGACGTGCCTATTGTGGCATTGAAGACGGTAAGCATATTTCTCTAACTTGAAGCCTGTCACAACTGTTCAATGCTGTCTGTTTGAGACGTATGTTAACATTCTCGTTGGTAGCTTTAAGTACAGTATGAAGCCTTGTACCACCCTCCAAGTATGTGTTTAACACCCAATTGTCAGCAGTTTTTACCAGCAGTCAATGCAAAAATGAACGTTCTTAAAGCCAGTCATTCACGTTCCAACGCCGGGGTACGATTGTATTGGATACAACTGCTGTACAATTTTGCTGAAAAGCAGCAGTACACACACGTTACGACCTTGCAGTTAAAAATTTGCGATCGTGGTGGCAACATGTCCGAAGAAAATGGACTTTTATACCTGCTTTCACGGTTTGTATAACATACACTGTCCCCACACGATTAAGTTTCCAACCAATACAACACGATTGTACTGCTGCTGACAGACTTGTTCACCAACCGTCCACATCCAACCGATTTGCTTGATCGCATACACAGATGTTCGAAAACACTTCAATTTTGTCATATCCTACACAATTGTACCGCGGCGTTGGAACGTGAGTGGCAGGCTTCAGTGACTAGGAACACGTGAAAGGGGTTACAGTCGTGATCTTTCCTGTGCCTGAGTTTGTAATTCATAGCGTCTATGCAGCCTGCAGCATGCCCTTGTATGCTGAAACACTGCAAGTGTAGCTTATTTCTAAACTGTTGCTTCACACTAACGGTCTTCTCATGCTATAATCATAAATAGAACAAACCAAAACAATAACAAGCCGACATGTTTGTTGACAGTTTTCAAACCGATTCATTTGTATAATAAACGTGGTAGACGCATGACGTCATACAGAGTCCGTGACGTGTACGCATTGCTTCGTGATCCTGACTATAAATCTAATTTTTAAAGAAAACAAAGAACGATTTAAAATGCAATATACTTTTCATTTCACAATCGCACGGAAGAAATGACGGAAGAAATAGTTTTGTGTGGCACGTCAGTTAGGCGACAGGGAACTGGACTTGGAGGAGTCTATTTAATCTGTTCACTTTTAGCGGGCCGATGGGAAAATGATGGCTGTGGAGGGAGAGGTTTGTGTGTGACACATGGCAGGTTAAGAAAAACTTTTTAGATGACCTAATCAATTTTTTGGGATCGAAAAACGGACAAAATCTTATATCCATGTAATATTTAAAGAGTTTGAACTATTAAGATGAAGAAATTATTAGATAACTATACTTTCAATGACCCTTTCGATTTACTATTAAATTACTTTAAATCAATGGAAGTTAACCGTAGTGGGCCACTTCACATCCGCGAAAAAGTCTAAATAGGGGCTTATAATAATGACTTAGCTGCTACGCAAGCTGGGACTTCAAGCTGGATTTGCCTCAAGGTCTTGAGGCAAATCCAGGTAGAACACATCAGGTCTGAGGGACCTTCTAGTCGTTGTGGTGGGACCGACGAGTAGATGGAGAAGTTTATATCAATCCAGCCAATTTCCTTCCAACACGAGTTCCAAGAAAAATCCACGAGATGTAGGGAAAAAGAGATGTATCCCAGTGGGGGAATAAAAAAAAGAGCCTGTAATTGTAAATACTGCTAGTATGGAGGCCATTGGAGACAAGAAGGGACGCCACGAACAGGGAAGACATCTCGACCACATGGGGGAGCCCAACACCTTTTGATAAGAGGAATTTCACGGAAATACATACACCATTTACTCCACCACATGAAGAGACTCATTGACAACAGATAACTACCTTTGGATGATCCAAGGCTCTTTTAATAATTACGAATTTCCAATTTTCAATAGCCGACCAAGGTCGAGTTGCTCCCAGCGTTATAATCCGATAGTATCGAAGGGGAGGGCATCAAACGTTACTTGAATGTACAGGACATCCAATAATATATCTAAATTCGGCTTTTCAGGTTCTTTGACTTAGTGGTATTTTTGGCTGTTACAGCTACATAGAATATTCTTTGCAAAATCAACTCAAAGTAGCTAATCAATTACTTTCTTCAATTACTGGGTCTAATTCGTCAGTAGATTTCTCTCAACTTCCAGTTCTTCCTGCTTCACTACTGTTGAGTCTGTTAAATCTACGAACCAGTCTGTTTTGAAAAATATTACTGACAATATTTCCAATGCACCAATTTTTAATTTTACTAATTGCGTAAACACTATAAATATTAATATTAATTCAGTGTAATATAATTGTTTAAATAAATAACTTGTTTTGTTCAGATTTAATTGTTTTTTATTCATACTTTCTGGTCGTGGAGAAAATACAGTCTGTTACCCGGTTAGAATGAAAATTCGCTAACGCTCGCTATACTATTTTGATGTCATGCTACTCTTCTTTATCTCTTTGTTAATATTTGTTACGTAATTATCTGTATACATCACTATTCAGGTAAACTACTTAGATGTTAAGAAATTTACGTATTCATCATAATGTGGACATCAGTAAATTTTCAAACTCGATAAGTTTTCTGAAAAAAAATCAAAAATTGATTTCCAACGTTTACTCGACCGGAGTCAATATATGGTGCTGTGGACAGGACTTGAGAATCTTCAGACAGAATGGTGTGACCGGTTTCATGCTGATGTTCAGCTTTGGCAGAGTGGGATGGAAGACCTGTTTTGAAACAAGCACTTTTCTATGACTGGAAAATCCGTGAAGTTATTGAAATCCAGAAATGTCCTCATAATCTCAACCGAGGCAATGGTTATTATTTGTCAAATATTTGGAAGCCCACATTAGGGTAAATGTGGGATATGTGCCCCTAGAGAATAAACGCCCCAATGCTATATTTAAGAAACTATATGCCAGAGGTCGTTGCTTTCTTCTCTAATGAAGCGTTTTGTATCACAGTAGCCTCAGACGAAGTGTGGAGTGCGTAACTCTCAATGTTTTAATAATATTAAAAGAATTAAAAATTCAGGTAAGTCGTTGTTAATATCACCAATTTTCGACCTTTTAGTAGACAGAGTTAATTGCACAAATTTAGTGTAAACAATTCGATTTTTGACTTTATAACCTCTTAGATGATTTCTCTAATACCAAACGTTGGATTTATACCAGAAATAGTGCGGGAAATTTAAATATTACGTGGGGCATATATCCTAAATAAAATTTAGCAGTAGGGATATATGCCCTAGTACAGTTAAGGATATTTGCCCCACATTTTATAAGGTATGTAAGGTTCAGTAACTTTTTGATAATTACAGAAATGCCACGAAAATACCAAAGGAAACAAAATGTTACGCCTCGGGTATCCTGGACTGAAGAAAACTTGCACCTGGCGATAGACAAAGTAAAGTCTAAACAACTTGGTGTAAATGAAGCTAGCAGAGAATATAGTCTTCCTTCTAGAACACTTCGAAGGCGAATTCAGGCAAATAATTCATCAAAATTAGTTTTGGGAAAGCCACCGGCTCTAGGAAAAAACAATGAAGATCGATTAGTAATACACATCCAAAAACTCCAAACTATGGGATTTGCCCCATCAGAAAAAACTGGTCGTACGATTGCTTATAATTTTGCAAAAAAACTAAATTTGGAACACAAATTTTGTGTACAAGGAAATAGTACAAATATGGCTGGTACACACTGGTTTTATTCATTTATGGATAGGAACCGTGAACTCTCTTTAAGAAAAAGCGAAGGTCTGTCACTTGCGAGGGCAAAAGGTATGAACAGACAAGAAGTGGAAGAGTTTTACGATTTATTGAAAAACACTCTAGAAAAATATAATTTGTTTAATAAACCCGGATCCATTTTCAACATGGATGAAAGTGGCATTCAAATTAACAATAAACCGGATAGAGTGGTTGCTAAAAAAGGAAGTAAATGCGTACATGTTATCACATCTAAAGAAAAGGTAGAAAGTATTTCAGTCATAGCATGTGCTAATGCAGAGGGTACGTTCCTACCACCAGTTTTAATATTAAAAGGTGTACGAAAAAATTCTGCCATTCTAGAAGGAATGCCTCCATCGTCGGATTTATACAGGGTGTCTCAGAAATAAGTACATTAATTTTAATCGGTTATAGAGCTCACTGAACTCAACAACTTTTTTTAGTAGAGTTTTGTCAAAAACTTTTTAATTATGAAGTTAAAAATTGTTAAAGTTATATCCCAATTAAGGTTACCCGCTCATGGATCCTTAGTCACCCATGGACACTAATAATTATTATATAATTATTAGACCAAGTAATCAATACCAAGAATTACAAAAAATACATCATCAAAGATCCGAACATAAAAAACGACTGCTGTCGCCTCTGCAAAGCAAAACCTGAAACGATCCAGCACATAATCTCTTCCTGCAGCATCCTAGCACAAACTGACTACAAAGCTAGACACGACAACGTCGCCAAAATCATCCACAAAGAATTAGCAACACTTATGAACTTAATCGAAGATACGACACCGTATTACACTTACATTCCATCTCCGTTCCTTGAAAATAACAAATACAAATTATACTGGGAATTCACAGTACTTACAGACTTAAACATTACAGCTAACAGACCAGACATCATACTTATCAAGAAACACACGAACGAAGCCATTCTCATTGACATTGCTGTTCCCAACACAAACAACATTATTCAAACATACCACACCAAGATTTCAAAATATCTACAGTTATCGATAGAAATGAAATCCATGTTGAATCTTAAAAAAATTTCAATTGTACCTCTAGTTATCTCTAATGTAGGTGTAGTTCCAAATAGCTTAGTTGAGAATTTAAAGTCTTTGCATTTGAATGATTCAATAATTATCAAAATTCAAAAAGCTGTTTTGTTAGGAACATGTCATATTGTTCGTAAGTTTCTTGAACAGTCTGATCATGTTAGTCAGATTAGGTTAGCACCAGTAGGTCAGAGTAGTGTAGGTCAATTTTCAAGTGATGCGCGGATAAATGGTCGGTAGTTACGCTAGACTTTTGGGGATGGGGTGAGATTAGAGAATAATAGCAGACTAATTTGTATGCTGTAATTCTAGAATCTCGAAAGTTGTTCTGTTAATCTAATCAATGCATATCATTACTTGGTCTTAGTACCCGTAATGATAGAAGTCTTGCCTGAATGCCGGTCATTTCCGGGTCAGTGGTGGGTCTTAAAAAATAATTAATAATGTATGGTCAAAAAACAGTTACTAGGATACGTATTTTCCTAATCGTGTCAATGTGACAAACATTTAGAGAGAAATTGAAAATCCTGCTCCCTAATGGCGTATGGAATTTCATCGGCCCAAATGTGGATGTTGAACACCTTCCCTCGTGTAACCGACCTCATCAGTTGATGGAATAAGAGATACAAAATTTGCTTGTTCGTTTATTTTTCTATTAACCCACTTACAAAAGTTTTGCCTACGTGGTAAATCTGTTAGTTTCAATAACTGAACTTTCTGGTCCTGAAAGGGGTACATTTGTTCTCTGAGTATCCTCCAAATACTACTTACTCTCCGATACATCACACTAGACAGTGATGCGTGCTAATGCCCGTTGGAGCTTCGACACTCTTCAAAACAGCCTCTTCAATATTAGCAATTCTATTACTACGTAACTTACCCCGATCCTGAGGTGCCGGTTTATAAGATCCGTACTCTCGAAAATGCTGCAACGTTCTTAAAACTGCGCACATTTGGCAGACGACGATTTGGGAGGTTTTCTGAAAAAATTCGTTGGGCGCGAGTGCCGTTTCCCCGAGCTTCACCGTACGTTAAAACGATATCGGTGCATTCCAGATTTGAAAACAAAGCCATTTCAACACATTTCGTCTATAAATTAGAAATCTGTGCCAAACAAACTTTAAAGAGACAACGTTTAATAAAAACATTGACATAAAAATGATTGTCAGTGTCAAAACGGTTGCTAGGGTACCTTCTTCATTGTTGTAGTGTTGTTATTATTTGAGTTATTATTTAAGGTGAACATAGACGGCTCGTGAATATATGGGTGGGAGAATTCGAAATTCGACTTGAGTTTTCGAAAAAATGCTAGATAAAAAAGTTGTTCCGTTTCACGAGTTCTGTTACTGGTTAAAATTAATGTACTTATTTCTGAGACACCCTGTATATGAATAAACAATCGTCATTTATAAATGCCGAATTGTTTTTAAAGTGGTTAAAAGAAGTATTCGTCCCACGAAAACCCGAAGGTTTTGTTCTTTTAATTCTTGATGGGCACAGTTCCCACTGTAGCAACTATGAAATGTTGGAGTACGCCGAACAAAATAGTATTATTATGTTATGCTTACCAAGTCATACAACTCAAGCTCTGCAGCCCCTGGATCGATCTTTCTTCAAACCATTGAAGACCTTTTACAAAAAAGAAGCTGAAATGTTCATGCTTTCAAGTAAAGATAAAAATATAAACCGTAATGTTATTGGAAAACTAATTGGATCAGCGTGGAAAAAAGCTGCAACAATCAACAATGCCACTTCTGGATTTTTAGCCACTGGAATATTTCCGTATAACAAATATATTATACCAGATTACTTCTTTCAAGTGTCCGATAATAATCCAAATTCAACTTCTGGGGTAGAAGATTTAGGGAAACCGCAAACACAAGAATTTCAAATTGAAGATGTACAAATTGAAGATATTGATTTAGATGACAACTTTGTTGAAAACGACGACAATTATGTGTTTCAGTTTAATGAAACTGATATGCAATTAAGAATGAATGATGCAATTAATATGGACAATAACGAAGTAAACTTAAAAAGAAATTTGCTTACTGATACTATTGAATCCACCAACATTAATAAACAAAAAATCGCAAAAGACATAAGTAAAATTACTAATAATAAGAGCAAAAAAAATCATTAAATGAAGAGAAGACAAGTACTTCCAAAGAAATTGACGAAGCAAGTACTTCCAAAGAAATTGATAAGCCAAGTAGTTCCGAAGAAACTGCGACATGTAGCTTTAAAAATATAGAAGAAACTCCGTCCAAATTTTTACATGAAGTAGCTCCGCTACCAAGAATAGAAAATCAAAAAAGTAAAAGAAAACAATCTGCAAAGATATTATCAAGTCAAAGCATGAAACAAGAAAAAATAAGAAAAATTAATTCCAATAAAAGAAATTTAACTGAAAATAACAATATTAAAAGCAAAAAATGTAAAAACAAGAATGAGGACAACGTAGATTGCATTGAATGTCTAGAAAATTATTTAGAAACAAAAGAACCTGTGGACTGGATCCGGTGCATAGATTGCAAACAATGGCTTTATGAAACATGTACAATGTATGGTAGTCGATGTAATACTTGTGGTAGAATAGAAAAGAGACGACAGAAAATTGACCAAGTTGCCAAAGAAGTTTCGTTCTAAAAAAGTATTTTGTTCTCAAATTAGAATTACCCTTTTTATTTTTTATATGCATTTTGTTAATAAAATCTCTAATAATCTTTATAGTTTTATTTGAAAATCTGCATGGATCAAACATGCGGCATTTATCCCCATATGGGGCATATATCCTCACAACATGGGGCAAATATCCCATAAAAAGGGCATATATCCCAATTGTAAATAATTTAAAAAAATTCATTTTACTCAATAAAATGATAACATATTGCAACGATGATTTTTATTTTAGTTTGAAATGTCTTTGTGAATTAATTGATAATTTTCATAAACAGTTACTGCTATCACAGAAATTTAAAAATCATTTGAAGGTTAGGTAGGGCATATATCCCACATTTACCCTAGATGAAATTGCTCATTTATCTCCCCCACTCCGGCTAGAGCCGTCCAATCAACTTCAACCACGACGGTTTCCCCCACCAAGTCTCAACTATATTCTTTGCTGCCAGAAGAGTTTCACCTCTGGTGTGGTCGACATGAAGATGCCACTTACGAAAATATGCAAAAGTAGAGCCCAAAAACTCAATTGACACGGTCCCATTCCGGAAAACGATCATATTAATAAAAAATTCTTAGCAGACATTAAGTTATGCTTGATTTCTAATAGGTGGGCATAATGATGGGTATTACGTCAATTTCCTTTTTATTTGTCAAAATTAAACTTCAGTACATTTGTAGGTGTAAGTACACCTGCCATACACTTTCAGTTTCATTGCCACACAATTACAGAAATATCACAAACTTAGGACATCTTGTTGCGAAACGTTGTTTTCACTTCTTATCTGTGGTGAGGTAACGTGTATAAAAAAAATACAATTCTGTGGAATCACGAATCATGCCGCAGTCGAAATCTTAGCTCCTAACAGTCAGAAGCCGTTTGGCGTCTCAGTTGTACAAGATGTCAATCGCTTTTGTAAAGTTCTGGGCAAGCGTGTTGACTCTAGTTATGTCAACCTTTGAAAAAATAGTTGCACAAGAAAATTTATTGGGTGAGTACTCAATCATTTTCAAACCGTGACTCAAGCTTCAGCCTGTTTTTCCTTGCTTGGAGGGCGGGTGGTTAGGGCACTGTTAACACTCTTCACGATGACGTTTTGGGACGGCTAGCGTCCTAATTCTCATTCTTCACTGTTTAATCTTTTATCTTTATAATCCGTTTGTTTTCTTTATTGTCCGAGGGTCATATGCTGCTGCTTTGCCTTTAAGTGACTTGTCGTCCTTTCTTGTTTTGTCCTGTTTATTTTTTTTTTCTGTTCGATGACTCAGTTCTTCAATTCCATCTTTACCCCGAAAAACGCGACTTCATGCTGCTTTAAACGTATCACTTCAAACAGTTCAGTTTTCATCTTCCAATTCTGTTACTACGTCCTGATATAGTTCCAGATACTTTGTATTGCAGTTTTCAACTAAATACCTGCCATTACGAATTCATTGTTTCACAATTTTTCCACGTGTTTTGTAAAAGCTTTAACACAATTTGGGATGTTGATAGGTAGAAATTTGGCTTAGTCGAGATCCTATTAGTGCGACACAACAATTTTAAAAATATAATGTTCTTATACTTTTTAGATCTTGCTCGCGATTTCCGTTTCTTTAAAGGAAACAAGATTGATATTGAAGAAAATAATATCACAGTTATAACATGTAACTGTCCGACGTTAAACTTTCATTTCATCCTCAAAAATGGTTATGTTAAACGCTACATCTCCAGCAGCACAACTCATGAATGTTATACATACGAAATTGGGTCCACTTCCGAAAAAATGCAAGTAGTCCACAATGGGGAAGTAGTCGCAACAGCAGAGGATAGTTTGGAGATAATGATCCTTAAATGTTCTTCAAAACATGCTTCATGGAAAATTTTACGGAGTAAGTCTATATATTTGCATATTAAAAGAAAACGCAATAGGTTATCTAATTCCTTCGCATTGATTCTTTACGGTTAATTTCAATTTTAACATCAAAATTTGCGTTGAACTAATATGCTATAATAGATATTTTAAAATAACACGCAATTCAATTACTGTCAACTGCGTAAAAGTAAAAATACTACAAATTCTAATTGGAAATGTATTGATTTACTCATTTATTAATATATATAAACATTTTAAAATTTTCAGCCTGCTGGGAAGGTTTCGAATCGCATCCTTGTCGTATCGATTGCCGTCATCAACATGGCGGTAATGGTGGTAATGCAGGTACAGCACATACAAACAACCTTTATGTTAACCTTATCGATTTAAAGTATGTAAAATATTTCTAAAACTCAAGCATAATTAATATAGTTTATGCATACATTTGTGGAGTCAAATTTAAGTTAATATTTACTCCTAAAACAAACATTATCATATGGACATACAGGTTTAGTCATGACAAAATTACTTCCCAACATTATTTTTACGCAATCCAAAATGCTAATACCGTGTACCACTTCATACTAACTGAATTTAAAATGAAGTCAAAGCAATCATGGATTAAGCATTCCATTTAAATTCAGATAGTATCAAATGGTACAAAGTAAAAATAATTTTCAGAAGTAATTTTCTCGTGACTAACCCTGTATATGTTTAAATTTTGTATTAAGGTAAAGTCCAGAAAAGTTTTTTTTACACAAACAACATAAATCAGTGTCGTACTGAAGAAATTTGCAAAGTGGGGCCGTGTGGTATTGAATACCGATGTTGTTTGCGTATTATAATTAATTGATTACTATTATTATTTTCAATTTTGCTGGCGACATTGGCGTTTTGACAAAATTATGTTGTTTTTGGAATTTTGATGACACTATGTAAATAAAATACTTGTAAAAAAGCTTTTCGGGACAGTTCAAAAAATTGTCACGGCAGCCCATTTATGTATATTTCACAATAACTCCTCTCATCTATCAATGTAGCAAAGTATAACCTTCCCGAGTTGATGATTATTCATCACATATTATCGCTGTGTAGTAGCGCTCCCACGTGACCCTAACAAATATTTTCATTTTACGCAAATGCAAATAATAATTTGACTCGTGTTGCATAAAAAGAAAAAAAAATATTTATTTAACTACAGCAATGGCGGCTCGTGAGCTTTTGAAATGAGGGGACACAACTCTCGTTTTGCCATGGACACTTTTTTTTATTAATAAATCGAGAGTGGTTCTCTCTAAAGTTTTCACTACAATTTTATTATCGTAACACAGAGGACGATTTTGTATTAAATATTCAAATGAATTCATTATTTTTATTTAAAAATTGAATTATTACTACCGGTCAGTGTTCGAACGCGACCCGATTCCAGCAAAACACAGCGACTAGAGGAGCGGTTTCCATGTCAACGGTGTAAACGAAACGTCTAAATGACTTATAATTTGGCCTGGGTCTCCGTTTACAACATCTGTAGATGTAAGTTTTGATACATTTGATTCAAATGGAGCGAGATAAAGAAATTAGTTTTGATAGTCATGACACAAACTTCTGGATTTTTTTATTAGTCAAGTGTGAACGTTGTCATTTTAGGGGGGTACGTCCGTTGTGCATCAGACGCCCCTGAACTACAATATGTTTTTTACAAATCGCACCACATCTTCTCGTGCACAAAACAATATTAAGTACTAAGAATGAAACACAGCATTCGTGTGACTCTCCTAATTTGAGAAAGCATGTTAATATCTGTTTTTTTATTAAAAACTCGCTAACGTCGCAATTTCCGCGGAAAGTATTATCGGTAACACTGCACTGATTTGATTTAGAAAATTTTTTGACATCAAAAATTTTAACGTTATTTTTGAAAAGTCATATTTTTACTCAAAGTAAAATAAAAGTTAAGATTATAACAGCTATAAGAAACAATAATAGGTTACTAGTAGTGCCCTGTAAACTTGTCGTTGCTTGAGGAAATTCCACAGACATAGCATCGATATCACCCTCTATTTCAGCGACATCATCGTCAGTTACCCTCTCATCATCATCTGTTTCGTCTGTATCAGAGTCTGCTAAAGATATTATGACTGGTGGAATACTATCTAGAGGAAAATTGCCCATTTCTTTGTACCAGTCTGCTAGAATTAATTCTTCACAATGCCGAATACTATTTCTCCACATTTGTGAATCAAAATTATTTAAAGCCTCCAACCACAAGTGCGTTACTCGATTTTTGTCTTCAGTATATTCGTGAATGTTTTGATTATAATAACGTTTGCAGTGTGCCCATGCCAGTTCAATTGCATTGTATTGACAATGGTAAGGTGGAAGTCGAAGCACATCAATGTCATGCTGTTTCAAAATGTTATCAATTTCATATTTTACAGGAGCATCAGGTGAAATTGTGGGTTGAATTAAATCCCATAAATTTTTTTTTGTAAATTTTGGATCAAATGCAATGTTACATTTCGTTAAATATTCCTGCATGACAATTTTGTTTGAAGACTTAGTTGGTGGTTTATCTAATTTTACGGAGTGATAGCTGGCATTATCCATAATCACGACTATTTTAGAACTTTTTGATAGATTTGATGAACAAATTACATTAGGTATAAATTGGTTTAAAACCCATTCTTTGAACATACTGGAATCCATGGTTTTATGATAATCTCTATCATTATTCGTAGAGTGTAAGAGAAAGCTACACCCATTCATAAAACCCTCTGAGGATCCAGCATGCAAAACCGTAAAACGCTGTCCTTCAAATTTTGTGGCTTTATAGCTTTTTGTGTGCATATTGTCATGTACCCATGTTTTTAACTGGGAACCATGCTTGTAAATCCAAGTTTCATCAAGGAAACTGAATTTAACGTCTGGATAATCTGCTTTATATTTCAGGTAACATTTCAGAAATTTGATTCTTTTAACAACTATATCAGGTCTTTCTATTAAAATTTTTCGATGATTTTCATACTTATATTTGAAACCCATTGCCTTAATTATTATTTTATATAGGGTACTTCGCGATCCTGTGTATTCTAAATTCTTTTGTGCAAATGAAAGAAGCGTATCCAAATTAAAATATTGCCCTGTTTCTTTGTATTTTTGAATTTGCCGTCCCAACTCTTCCCTAAAAAAGTGATCCTCGAATGCTGCAATTTTTTTTCTCCCCCCTGAACTTTTCGATGAGACAATTGGTTTGCCCGTTGTATGGCACTTCAAAATAGTTGTTACCGTGGACTCAGAAACCTAGTTTAAAATATTGATAAATATTATGTACTGAGCATATTTTAGTACCGAAAAGACTGTCTTTAAGTGTTAATGCATTTTTCTTCCAGTTATGGCTGGTTCCAATGTCAAAATTAAGTGGTAGCAATTAATGAGTGCCATTTTCAATTTAGCACTTAAAAGATTTCGCGTTTTGCGATGCATTTTTTGTTCTTTCAAAAATTAAGAAATTTTTTAATGACGGGCTCTTATTGAAACTTTCAAAAAACAGGCGTGCCAATGAAGTATGGAATAACACTATATAGGTTTTTTTTTGTTATACCAACTTGATTCAACAGGTGGTGAGTTTTGAAAATAAAAATAAATTATATTATCAGCTACTCTAGCACCCACTGTAGTATTTATAGCGGGCATCCCAACGACCTGGTAAAAGAAAATCCCTCGTTTATCGTGGACCATTAAAAAAATCTGTAAGTTCTATGAGATTAAAAATCTCTAATAGAACTCATTTAGGCCTAGAATTCACAATTATACGGGCTAATTCACAAAATGTATCATTCAGAGCTTATGAACCAAAGCTGAACACAATTTGTTTTTATAAATTACGTGATTTTCCACTGCCAGACCGTTGAAACACCCTCAATAAACATTGCTTTCAAAGAGTATTTTTTAAATTCATACTCCCTTCGTTACTATTATCACTTTAGTATAGGGCAATGTATTTTTTCTATGTAATAAAGTCATTTGTTAAAACATTTATTTACTAATCTGTTTTTTTTAGTACTCTACATCGTACTTGTAATATTGGCCATTTCGATAACACTGGTGATGTTCTACTTGTACTGCAAACACGGAAAGCAATGTAGAAGAAGTAGATTGCAATATAATATACTTAACGTTTTTAGAAGAAACGATGGACAAGAAATAATCTTTGCTAATCCGACCGAAGAATTCGAGTTAAAATGATGACCTGTACTGATTTCGAAAAATAAATTGTTGGTAGATTTTATATTATTTCTTAAATAGAATTTACTACCCCGTATACATACCTACCTGTAAATGATTGTAACGAAGCAAATTTTCGCCGTCCAGGAGCGAACGACCGTGCGGAACGTCTTATTCTTTTTTTGTAAAACCGTTTTGTATTTATTTTATTTAATATTAGCAGTATGATTTATTATTTTAGTCGTGTAGCTGGTGATAGGGAATAAACCCGATTTATTGTTCAAAATATTTTCGGCCGTTTTATTTTATTTTCTTATTTTTGCGGGCGCTCACCAGCTGAGATCCGTGTCTCCAGGTTGAGAGCCACCCCGGCGCTCCCTCCCCCGGAGAGTGAACTAGTCGGCTCAAGGTTTGGCACCCAGGTAAGCCGCCACCAACGTTATCGGCGAGATTCCGGACCGTTAGTCCCACCGGAATGCCGTCGCATGATGATGAACACGTAATTTTACTGTACACGATAATACTCCTAATATTTATCTCAAGCAGAGAGGATATACTTATAACCAATGTTACGTAAAAATAGGGACCTGTTTTTGAAGAACAAGAAATTCTAAAGTAGTTGGAATGAAGTTAATGAAGACATTAAGTTTTCTTCTGCATAACATAAGATATTTAACTGTTTTTCCTTAGTTAAAACAAATGTAATTTGTTCTATTTCTTTAGTGGTGTTTATCTTTGACGCAGTGAGTATTGTTTACTTTTTTGCAATATTTTTTAATCTTACACTAAATTAAAATAAGATTTTATCTACGACTGTTTAACACCCAGCATGTCGACGCGGACAGTTTTCTGGTTTGTTCTTAACTTACCATTTTCAATCAAAAATCAACAACAAAACGGACGAAATGAAGTTCGCCGGTAAATTACGGCAATGTTTGCACGGGGGATTTTAGCTCGAGTTTGTCTCGTAAGGCTGGTGGAAGATACGGTCAATTATGTAACAGGTTTTGCAGCGGGAGATTGAGTGTTTGTTGTGGCTCGTGAAAATCATAACATCACAAAAACCTAGAAACTGAGAAGTTGTATCACCCAGATAATAACCATCGATCCAGTAACCGTGATCTATGATTTGGACTCCCGACATAGACTTTGGTTTTGTTCATATTTAAATTTGCCGCTATACAATCCCAACAACTTATGTAGATATTTGCATCCGATGACTGTAGTTCACATTTTTTTTTGCTTGTTTTGTGTTGTTCAAATATTTGCATTGACTGTGCCATAAATAAACATACCCACAACGTTTTGTTCTATTTTTGTTAATAATCACACTTCAACTTGTGGCAGTGCAGTGAAATTATAGTGACTCAACATGGTCTCGTTTATGAGGATTTTGTCTAGCATATTGACTTTAGTTACATTAACTTTTGAAAAAATAGATACGCAAGAAAATTTGTTGTGTGAGTACTCAACCATTACCAGAGCGCGATTCAGGCTTCAACCTGTTTTTCCCTGCCACTTGGAGCACTACCCTTCATGACGTTTTGGGACAGCTACAATTCCATCTGACTAGGTTACCCGGAAAACGCTTTTGTACTCGTAGTACCTAGCAAATTCACGTTGTTATAAACATCTCAGTTCAGACAGTTGAGTTTTCATTTTCGGGTAAACTACGGAGAGACATGTCCTTCACTGTTATAATAATAATAATAATAATAATAATTTTATTGTCCAACAGGTTACCCTAATGACAGGACAAATCTAAATAATTACTTACATGAATAACCAACACAAAAATTATAACAATAACAAAAACATAATTCCAAGTATAAACTAATTTGAATAAAATATATCAGTTACATATCTATCTGCACATCGACACATTGTAGTAATTGGCGAACGACGAAGGATATTAGTTCGGGCGGTGGAGACATGAAAGGTGTTAACATATCTCGATGCTGGCCGAGGGACATTAAATCTAATCTGTGATAATAAATATGGGCAATCAATTTTGTTATGAATAAGCTTACACAAGAAGTTAGCCGCATGTAGATCCCTTCGAATCATCAAAGAGGACATCTTGTGTCGTTGGAGAAGACTTTCCATCTCAATACCTCTGGCCGGATAATTACCATCAATTTTGAACGAAAGGAATTTCAAAAATTTCCTGTGCACTTTATCAAGAAGCATGTGCTGACACATATATATGGGATACCATATTAGTGAGGCATACTCTAATTTCGAAAGAACATATGCAAAGAAAAAGGATTTAATTACGTCAATGTTGTTGAAAAATTTTGAAGTTCTCATGACAAACCCCAAAGATTTATTTGCAGCACTGCAAATGTTGGTAACATGAATATCAAAAGTCAAGCAGCTATCGAAAGTAACTCCTAGATCTTTGATCGATGTTTTTCGTTCTAACGGTGTACCTTCTATTGAATAAGAAAAATCAACGATATTAAGTTTTCGACAATATGAAATGTAGCAACATTTACTAATATTAATAATAAGTCTATTTTGATTGCATCATTCCACGATTTTCATAAGTTCACGTTGTAAAAGCTCAGCATCATAAAGACTTGAGATTTTAGAATAAATTTTAAGATCATCAGCATAAGCTAAAATACTGCAGTTTAAAGATTCCAAAAGGTCATTGATAAATAGACTGAAGAGGAGAGGCCCAAGGTTAGAGCCTTGTGGGACTCCAGACCTTGACAAAAAACGAAAAGAGGTAAAACCATTGTAAAATACATAGTTGTTACGGTTTATTAAGTAAGACTCCATCAGTTTGAGAAGGGGATAGTTAAATCCAAAGTTATTAAGTTTGCCTAACAGAATGTCGTGAGGAAGAACATCGAAAGCTCGGGAAAAGTCAGTATATATTACGTCTATTTGTTCTCGTTTATCAAGTGCAACACTTAGATCTTGAACAAGCACTGCAAGGTTTGTAGATGTAGATCTACCAGTTCTGAATCCATGCTGTCCTAAACTGATATGCGAACGAGTATTATTGTACAACTATATAATGCCTGTTCAAAAACTTTGGCAAAATTGCTTAGAATGGAAATAGGACGATACTTCGCTAGTAAAGATGGATCACCCTTTTTAAAAGTAGGACTGATTCTTGCAATTTTCGAAAGGTCCGGGAATGTACTTGTTTTAAGTGCCTGGTTAATTATGATAGACAAAGGTTGGACAAGTGCATATCTACAATCACGTATCAAAAAATTAGAGACTAAGTCATCACCACATGTTTGCTTGTTGGATAAATTTGACATGATCAGAATTAAATCCTCTATGCTGACGGAAGACATTGAGAAAGAATTTGAAGAAATAGAAGTAGACTCTATGTGCGTAGAGTTGTTAACAGTAAATACATTGGCAAAGGTAGTAGCAAATGCATCCTCAATATCCTGAGGTTCCGAAAATATATTTCCATTATTGTCTCTTAACTGACCCGGTATTCTAGAAGTGCCATTTTTCAAATGTAGAAAGCTCCATAAAGATGAAGGATCAGATTTGATTTTGCTCTGGACATGATTTAGATACAGTTGGTAGGCATTATCCATTTGTTTTTTAACAATAGCTCTTAATCGTTTGAATTCGATATAGAATTTAGAATTCTTAAATTTAAACCATTTACGCCTGTAACAGTGTTTTTATATTCTGCTTAATCTCAGAAGTAATCCAGGGTGGAAATTTCGAAGAGCTAGAAGTTATACGTGGAACAGAGTAATGAGTTATGAGTAATAGTCACGTTTGCTGAATGTTGGAAATACACACAAACTTTATTTACCTTGTGTGGTAGTTCTCCCTATTTCGGAGATACAAGGTACTCTTCCACTATGGCGTCTTCTCGAAGTTTACTCTATTTACTCGACTGGAACTTCATACTAAATGTAGATTCTCTCCTTCAAATGACATTTCAAAGAGAATAAACTGGAGGAAGTGCGAGCTCTCTAAGCAGTGTAAAATTTCCGTTACCTACTACTCTCAAAGTCCCAAATACTTTGTACTGTAATTTTCAAACTAACCGCACAGAAAATTCTTAAGTCATTACGAATTCACTGCTTCAACATTTTTTCACGTCTTCTGTAAAGCTGTAACACAATTTGGGATGTTCTTCTATTTTTCAGATGCTGCTCGCGATATCCGTTTCTTTGAAGGAGACCTGATTGATATTAAAGAAAATAATATCATAGTTATAACATGTAATTGTCCGACCTTGAACTTTCATCTGATACTCAAAACTAAATATGTTAAACGCTACACCTTCACAAGCAAAACTCATACATGTTATACATACGAAATTGCGTCCACTTCCGAAAAAATGCAGCTAGTCCACAATGGGGAAGTAGTGGCAACAGCAGAGGATGGTTTGGAGACAATGGTCCTTAAATGTTCTTCAAAATATGCTTCCTGGAAAATTTTGAAGAGTAAGTCTGTATAATATTTACACCGTCCATACATTAAAAGAAAATGCAATCGCTTTTGTGGTTCGTTCGCATTGATTTTTTTCGGTTAATTTTCAATTTTAACAACAAAATTTGCGTTGAATTAATTTGTTATGGTAGATATTTTAACATAACACACATAATGCAACTACTGTCAACTGTGTGAAAGTAAAACTTATGTGCACGACTCCTCATAAGTGCATTTTCGATGCTCGTATTATTAAGACACTACAAATTCTAACGGAAATCTATTAATCTACTCATTTATATTTAAATACAAACATTTTAAACTATTTAGCCTGCTGGAACGGCGCCGAGTCACATCCTTGTCGTATCGATTGCCCTCATCAACACTGCGAGGAGTACGATAGCCAACTTGACGTTCATACAAGTATAGTATAACAAACAAATTTTACGTTAACCATATTCATTATATACAAACATATAACGAAAATATTGTAAACATTCTAATTAAAAAAAAGTAGGGTTTTTGTTGATTACTAACAACACCATCCTCACCAGTGCACAAGAACATTCCTATGAATAAAAGTATGTTAGGTATCATTTGATGCTATTAGTATACTGGCTATGGGTGGTGTGACGAGCCATCACTAAATTCGTTCACAAGAAAATTGTAACAAAAAGACGAATAACAAATCCCCAAAACATAACAAAATTCGAAAATTTGCAAATCATAATTACTTAACACGCATGTCCTAATCTGCATATAGTACCATTCAAATAGATAATCAAACTCAACCACTAATCCCCGAACGCAGGAACAAAATTCGCATATTCGCAAATTGCAAATATCATCGCACTTGTCAGACACTGCAAACAACATGTACAGAACCGTACACCATAAAAATCGCCATTCGCAATTACTTTCATCCGAAATTGTATCCAAACTAAAGCAGCTGCAAACGAAACGCAGACGAATAAAAAACATCAAAAAACGCCGCCTTCACAAACAGATGCAACAGGCTGACAAAATGTGGCGATGACGACATGGGAACCATGGCGCAAGTTGAGGAAAACTCGATGATATACGACACAGTACTCGCATAAAAACGTCAGAAAAGAAACCACAATTAAACGAAATTAAACCCTATAAAACAGCGAAATAAAACCTAAAGTCGCGTCCCGAGTAATACATAAATCACGAAGAAATATGGCTTACTAACGTCGCGGGAGACAAGATTAATGGGTAAAAGTCCCTATAAAAGCAGTCGCGCTGGAAGTGATATTCATTCAAGTCCCGAGTTGCAGTCGAAGACTATGCCCATTTTCGTACCGAGTTTTTTTGCTATTTTTGCTGAATTTTGAACAAACTTCGGTCGTACATATGAAGCGTTTAATTTATGCGTTTTAATCGAAAGGTCTTCGATACCTTTGGTGCGAACAGAAGATAGCGCCAGGGCGAAAGGAATTTGGCACTTTTGGCCTTTCGTCGAGGAGGATTCTTTGATAATTTACCGATCGTTTTTTTTGTGATAATTAATCCAATGTTTCCTTAATTTGCGTTTCCGAATTGAAACCATTTTCTCACCGTGCTTTAGCGCATTTATGGTACTAATTTCTCAACGTTTAGCTGTACTTAAAGACTGTGACTATTCATATTTTCGTTTATTTGACTGTCCCTTAACCGCTAATTTTCTCGTGAACAAGTGTTCGCGCTCGGCGTATTTAGTTACTCAAAGAAAGGAAAAGGAATTTACCTCTTTCTTTACATGTTTAAATTCACAAGATAGCGTAGATTTAAGTTTTAGTTGCTTTCCTTATTCTCAGTGGAAAATTTCTTTGAATTCCACTGAATTATTAGTTTAATTGTTTTTAACTGTAGTACTTATCTAGCGGATAACTGCCCAAAAACAATTTATTGAATACTTAAGTGGTTCACTCGAATTCGCGTTAGCAGTTTTCGAAGTTTATTTATCACGCACGTAACATTAATATTGTTTAGCAGGTATCGCAAAGAATTAGGGATTAACTAAATTAATTTCCAGTTTTAATTGCATGATGATTTTTAGGATTAAATTTAGTTAGAGTCGTGCGTTATGTTCATAGATTGTCAGGTTTTAACAATGGAATACAATTGCGCAACGCTTTAAATATAGTCTTGATTGTTTTTAGTTATGTAAGTTTGTCCTCATGTTTTATTTTGCCATTCTCCACTTACATATTTACTCTTTATCCTGTTAATATGCTTGTAATTTTTTCTTTCAATATATGTATTAAAATGTTTAATTATTACCTCTTCCCCCACATGCAGTTTAGCTCCTCCATTTCCAAGGAAATGGGCCTACACCCAAATGAATAATTTTGTTAGTGTCCAAATGCTCCGCGGTTAAAAACTATTTAGGCACGACAGTGAATTGTTAAAGGGAGGTAAGTTCCAATAGAACTTATTTAGGACTACAATTCACAATTATGGTGAAACATAACTAAAAGATGTTCCAAATAAAACGGCCACGGCACTTGGGCACCACTTCCAAACTCAAGGCTTCAACAAGGAATCCTCTTTTCCTGGTTTCCGGCCCGCGAAAATTCGCTTCGTTACAATGGAGCACATTTTTCTCTTTCAGATCCCTGCACTGACCATCAGAGGGGGACCGTAATATTAAAGCCCATGATGGGGGGCAACCTCCTAAGTCACAGCACCTCTGTGACCGCTCAGAAGTCAGGACAAGGTGAAGAAGACAAAGTTCTGGTAGCTGAGTAGAAGATGGAGGGGTTTTAGGGTGGTAAGTAATTTATTGCAATGCCCCAGTATCTCGTGCCGAGAACAAACACGGTCGTCTGCCCAAGGCATTTCCACTCTCAGACAAAAAAGAAAGACCCACTCTCGTTACACGTCTACCCCTTAGATAGTAAAACAAAAATATTTTAAAATTTCGTCCGAATTGCGCACATGAGATCACACAAAGTTACAACACATTGACTGATAAAGGAGCATCCAGATTTATATGCCGCAGTTGACAACTTAGCTCTTAACAGTATGGAGCGTGTAGCGTCTCAGTTCTACAAAATGGGAGTCATTTTTCTACTTTTTCCAACCGGGTTGACTCCAGTTACGTTAACCTCTGAAAAAACAGTCTTGCAAGAAAATTTGTTGGGTGAGTACTCCATTTATTTTTAGAGCGTGATTCAGGCTCCATACTGTTTTTACGCGCTTGCCACTGTTGACGTCCTTCACAATGACGTTTTGAGACGGCTACTGTCCTACTTCTCATTCTTCTCTGTTTAATCTTTTATCTTTTCTTTCTTGTCCTACCGTCGGATGCGGCTGCCTTGCCTTTGAGTGTCTTGTCGTCCTCTCTTGTTTTGTCCCGTTTCCTTTTTTCTCTTCGATGACTCACTTCTTCTGTTCCATCTTTACTGAGTTACCCCGAAAAACCCGATTGTATCTGATAAATTCACGATGGTTCAAACATATCACTTCAAACAGTTATCCCCTTAATTTTTTTTTCGAGTGCAACCAAATGGTGTTTATTATATTTACATGTTTATATATAACAAGTTAATATTTACACTTAGTCCCTCAACATTATAGCAATTAAATTTTCCTACTACAGCAGTTGATAATGAAACGGTTTTCTAGATTATCTCCATGCTGATTATTTTATCTTAATTTTTTTTTTATAAATAGTAAATAATGTGTAGATGGGAATGATTGCGCCAAAATTACGACAAATTAATTCTACCAGTCAAATTATTTTCAACTTTTGCTAAAAGTGCTTTCGAATTCCAAAAAAACCGATATGCTTTTAACTTTGGGAAAGTGTGATGGAAATTTCGATACTGCCGTTCGTCTACATGCCAATTTCTTCTAACCAAGCATTCAGAAGGCTCGAAGAAACTAATAAGAGAAGTTGAATAATTTAAAAAACTAAAATTAGATGTCCTTCAGTAACGTTAGAAAATGAAGCTGACATGATTGAAATTATAGAAGAAAATCGTCACGTGAGTCAACGGCAGATCACAAGACAAATGCTGATTAGTCAGAGTTCGGTTTTTAATATCCCACCACTTTCATTAATAATATTTTGAAATTAAAAAAAATAGCTTTGATTATAATAACATTTACGTTAGACGCTTTTTCAGTGTAAGTACGTAGTAGGTAACTAAATTTAGTGAATCTACCAGTTACGGTCAATTATTTTTTAAATCTAGTTGACTGCTGGAATTTAAGGCGTACAACCACTTACATTTTTAGAACAAGCTCTACCAAAGATGACAGTAGTAAGTCGAGGGTGTGGGTAAAACGTTGCTGGGACAGACGTCGTCCTAAGTCGTCCTCGTGATTGTCCGCGTTGTTGTTGTCGTCGTCCAGGTGAAAATCATCATTACTTCGGGCACGATCTTCCTAGCTGCGATGCTGTCGTCCTTTGTGGCACTCCGGGCGCTTCCAGTATTCGTCCATGGTGTTATTCCCTCATCCCGGAAAACGGGACTGTACTCATAGTACCTAGCACACTCCTTTAAACATCCCAATTCAGACAGTTGAGTTTTCATGCTAGGGTAGAATACGGAGAGATGCCACCCACTTTTTGTATTTATACAGTGTTATGAGCACTATAGTCACGTTTTTTGAATGTCGTAAATAGGTACACGTGGCATTTTCCCGAATGTTCTTCTATTTTTTAGATCATGCCCGTGATATCCGTTTCTTTAAAGGAGAGCTAATTAATATTGAAGAAAATAATATCATAGTTATAATATGTAATTGTCCGACCTTAAACTTTCATCTGATACTCAAAAATGGATATGTTAAACGCTACACCTTCAAAAGCACAACTCGTGCATGTTATACATACCAAATTGCGTCCACTTCTGAAGAAATGCAGGTGGTCCACAGTGGGGAAGTAGTGGCAACGGCAGAGGATGGTTTGGAGACAATAGTCCTTAAATGTTCTTCAAAATATGCTTCCTGGAAAATTTTAAAGAGTAAGTCTGTATAATATTTACACCGTTTATACATTTGCGTTGAATTAATACAGGGTCATTATAAAATATTGTAGTCAACTCGCCTATGAAAAACAATTGAAATTTTTCTCGTGCCGCTAATCACCAAAATGATTTCAACTCTTTTGAAATGTCACGAACGTCGAAACAAATCTATCAAATGTGTCAAAAATTGAAATGCCAGGTTTGCGGTTTAATTTCCTTTTAAATAGACACGAAAATACGCCAGGCCAGAGCATTAAGGGTTGCAGTGTTATCGAGCATTTGTGAACGCCACTGCAATACATTTCAGCTTCAAAAATTGTAAATTGTCAGAAAAACGTTTAAGGGCTTTGTCAAGAATTACACCTTGGAAAGTCGATTGCAGTTGAACAGAATAAATCATCTGGTCTGTTTTGCAAAGAAGCAATAATTTTTCAAATAATGAAATCCAAAAAGTGAGGTTAAATTTGCCGAAACCAATGAACACGGTAATTAATTAAAAAAATACATTTTTATAGGTACCCTGAAGGTAAAAATTGTGAAAAATCACGTAATGGGCAATGGCAGAGCAAGTCTTATTACAGTTAACGAACACTACCACTGTTTTAAAATGACAATGAGTAATGAGTTTTTGCAGTAAATAATTTTGCCAAAGTTGTGATCCCGCGAAAGTTCTGTTTGGAAATTGTAAGGAATCGCCAAAACATTGTGAAGACGTGATTTGTGACCAGTGCTTTTCTCTTGAAAAAACACAACTGAAAGCCTTGATGTTCATCCCCACAATAGGTGAAAACTGCTATGTCCAAACATTATCTTCAGCTTTGCAGTTTCTAGATATCTGAAACATGCCAGATCTGCATAACAGGAACGTCAAAGAAGTTCTACCCAAAACACGTCCACATGGCCATCCTAATATCAAGATTTTTCTAAATTTCTATAATAAAAAAGATGAAAAAAACAATAAAATTTTAGAAGCATAGTGTTAAACAGTTCTGTAGATGATTACGAGACCTCTTGAAACAACAGAATGTTTAATAAAGATTTTTAAACCTTCCAAATAGTAAAGTTACAATTATTACTAAACAGTAAGTTGAAGTAAGTTTTAAATTAAGAGAATGCAACTAACACAGAAAGAAAAATGAAAGTTACTGAAAATAAAAAACTTTATTGCAGTACCTACATACACTTTTTACATCCAATTTTGTTTATTGATCACATTCATTTACTTGAAAAAGTATCGGGCCTATGAATTGTCGTCTGGAAAAAGCTAACCACACACCAACCTTCACTGCGTGTAATGGTGTTTCTTCAAAAACGTGAGTATTTTCTATACACCAAATTCTGAAGTTCTGTGAGTTGACATAGCCTGACAGATGAAACCAGGCTTCATGAGAAAAAAATGACAAATTGAGAATCGTGTTATCGTCCATATTAGCTTGAAACCAACAACAATATCCAACGCGGCGAGGAAAATCAGCTCCTCAATAAACGAAATCTTGTATGGATGCATATGTAACTTCTCTTTTACAATTTTCTGGCACGTGCTGTATGGTACTCCGGACTGTACAGAGTTTTGACAAAGCTTTATTCAGACTTTGTTCCATTCTCATCTTTAAATCTTCAACAACGTCTTCACTAACTTGAAGTCTCCCCGTCGGTTTTCACTTAGAAACGCTACCAGTGTCGTTAAATCTGGCCATAATTCGCCGTATAGCGTCTTCAAAGATTCTTCCTCAATGACAACAGGACATTTCACCAGATACTCGTTTTTAGATACCTCCACAGAGTACACTCCATCCCCATCCTCATTTAACACCCCATTACGGTAATAGGGCATGATGATTGCTCCAAAGAACTAAAAAAGTGATTTGTAACACTGACCATAGTTATTCCTCTGTGTCCATTATTGAGTGAGATTATTCCACAATGATCTGTAGTTTTGATAAAAACTGTTTTTTGAGACACTTATTAAAGTTCGAACAAAGGGGAAGACAGCAAAAATGAATACAAGACAGGTCAATTAACGCACAAAGTGTGGGAAAACGTACCAGTAATCAGTACAAACAGAATAGTACAAACGAAAAAATCATTGACATCTGACAGAACTTGATGAAGCGTTGAAACAGTGCAGCCGCTAATGTCATACTAATGTGGCGTTAAAAATAAAAACTCCAATATTAGTGTAATCCTTTCCACAAAACCGAAAAAGGCGACACAAAATGTCACCAAAGTCATGGCCTTCCTTGACTACAATATTTTATAATGACCCTGTATGTTATAGTACAGATATTTTAACATGACGCACATAATACTACTTACTGACAAATGCGTGAAAATAAAAATTATGTGCGTGATTATTAAAACACTAGAATTTCTAATGGAAATCTATCAATCTACTCATTTAAACTTAAATACTGAAAACATTTTAAAATTTGCAGCCTGCTGGAATGGCGCCGATTCACATCCTTGTCGTATCAATTGCCCTCATCGACACTGTGACGAATACGACAGTCAACTTAACGTTGAAGCAGGTATATTACATACAATCAAGTTTTATATTAACCATATTCATTATATACAAATATATAATGAAAATATTGCAAACTTACTAATAAAATAAAAGTAGCGTTTTTATTGATTCACAGGCCGGCATGAATTTGGGGTTTGAATTCTTGTTAGTATTTTGTGATAAGGATCACATACAATTAATATATCTGTACTTATTTTTTTTCCATCACGTATAGTTCAATTACAAAAAAATATGCTTACATTTTAAGAAAAATTAGCAGTACCGCACAACATTTTATTTTACTATTACTTAACTTTTATTTATTGGAATAATGTTAACGTATAAAAGCATCCTAGTGAGTTGCGAAACTAAAACCATAAATTCCCCTGGAAATGGTCTCTATTTTGCCTCAATTTTGGACATTTAAATCAAATCATTCAATGAAGACGTAAAATGGCTTCAACTTCATTTCGTTTTCATTGTGTTAATGAACCTGATAGTTTTTGTTATATTTGTGGTTGTTATGTTATTAAAAAACTTCGAAGAAACATTACTGAATTTGTTAAAAACGCATATCGCATTTATTTTGGATTCGACATTGGAAATCAAGACAAAAATTGGGTTCCACATAAAGTTTGTCATACTTGTGTTGAACAATTACGGAAATGGTCCAAAGGTCAAAAAAAATCTCTAAATTTTAGAATGCCCATGATATGGCTTGAGCCGGTGAGTAACTTAGAGTGTTATTTTTGTACCACCAGTGTAAATGGGTGGTACAAAAATAGCACATTACATACTCTACTGTGTCATCAGCAATTAAACCAATACCCAATGATTCAGATCTGCTAATTCCTGAACCTTTTAATGTTATGGAATCCCCTGACTCAGACATAGAAATGCAATATGGCCATGAGGAGGTATATGATAGTGAAAGTTCTAACGATTCAGTTCCCCACAAATTTGAGCAGGCGGAGCTTAATGATTTAACCAGGGATCTAAATTTGTCAAAAGGGGCTACGCAATTGTTGGGTTCACGACTGAATTCTAAAAATCTTCTAAGTTCCGATACAACATTTGCATGGTACAGGCACAGAGAAAAAGAGTACACCATTTATTTTTTGGAAGATGAATCTTTGGTCTATTGTGTGGACATTCCAGGCTTGATAACACACCTAGGTGCTGAACACTATGATCCAAACGATTGACGTCTTTTCATTGACTCAAATAAAATAAGTTTAAAGGCTGTATTATTACATAACGGAAATAAGTTTTCTTCAGTTCCTGTAGCACATTCTGTGCACATGAAAGAAACCTACGAAAATCTAAGAATTATGTTAGATAAAATTAAATATTTCGATCATCAGTGGAAAATTTGTGGCCATCTCAAGATCTCTGGAATGCTGCTACGTTCACTACGGACAAATAAAATTTTTTATCACTTCAATTTGTGATCTTGGTTATTTTATTAATCCTTTTGGATAGTACTTGCTTTTAATAGATTGAAGATAAAATGTCGCACTTCAAGTTGGCTTAGGAAAATCTGTCACTGCGTTTTAAGAATTTGCAACTTTCTTGATGCAGTAGTAAGCTTCGCTCCGCTTGAATTACTGGTTGTCTGCCTATCAGAAAGCGAAAAGACTGAAAACATTTAAAAAAGTTGGATTGTGACATTTGTGACAGGCGACGACGAGGCAGCAAAAAAATTTAAAGACAACTTGATTACTTTGTATTATTATTTTTAACTTGTGTTGCCTATTTCAATTGTACTCTCATTATTCGAACGATCTGCGATTTTGACGAAAGCGTCGTCCCATCTGCCTCTTATCTGATTAATTTGTTATCATACATTAAGAAAATTCATTTGCCGTTCACCATCCACAGTGAAACAACATGTCATTTTTTGCCGTACTTTTGGTAACCATCTTAGCTTTACTTACGTTAACCCGTCAAGAAACTCGTTCACCAGAAAATTTGCAGGGTGAGTAATAAATTATAAGAAAAAAACTGACCTATTTTTTTTATCGGCGACGTAAATTTGTTGAAGTTTTAATTTAATCGAAACAAGTTAGAACGCGTCTCGTTGCCCTAGAATAAAATCGGTTAAGAGGAGGTTTTACCCACACGGAAAGTAGCCCGTGCAATGGGTTATGATTTTTCGAATCATTGATTTATTAATGGTTAAAAATAGTTGAAAATTTAATTGAGTGTTGTCAAAGGATGTGACATTTTGCCACCGTTCGAATTTTTTAAATCTGACAAATAACTGTTGCAATAAAAATTAACAAAATCACATAAAATTGGCTTAAAAGAAGCGGCAATTAAATGACGCCTTTCGAAGAATTCAAACGGGGGCAGCAAGATCAATATTTCGTAAGCGTGTATATAAAATTGCGACGTTGTAAATTACAAAATTTTGCTATGAAACGAAAAAACAGAACGCATGTTTTCGGACAAAATGCAAGCCGATTTCTAGTTGCCCTCACTCGGGTCAGGTGAGGAAAGACGCTAAGCGGGGGCTCACATCTACTCCCACTCTGAAACGCAAAGTACAGACACGACGAGATCGTATTTTGAAATACTTTTGTCATATTATAATCGGTGGAGTGTTACAAGTCGACAACGGCACCCGAACTAAGTTGAATCTTTCTGTGTACGCTGTGACTAAGATTCACTTCTCCCCTCGAAAATGTTTACGTCCCTCAGAATTCACTGATTTCACAGTTCGAGAAACGAATGAATGGCTTGAGTAAAACCTGCTCTTAAGGAGTTTAAATTTTCTTTTAGCTGAAAATGCAATAACTTACTGTGCATATAATTAAATATGGTCTGTATAACCGATTGGTAGATTTTATGCACATGCCTAGGTACATTTTAAAAATTTCTACTACATTATTTTAGATACAAGTTTACAGTTATTTATTTTAACATAAAATCATGGTGTCCGCATGGATTACCTACGTGCAACTTAGAAATTATTTCAGAACAGAAGATCCTTAATAAAATAAGGTGTTAACTGTAAAGCGGTTTGCAAATATAAATTTTTTTATCTAGATTAAACGTGTGTCCTCTCTTAACTTAAACATACTTAAGAACCTTCATTGTCTATAAATTATGGTATACGTCACTTTAAATTTTTAAATATTAAAAAGGTTAAAATTTTGAAAGCCGAGAAATCAATTTTCCACGTCTTTAGTTCCGGTCGTCGAGGTTTGGAACAGATAAGGTTAAGATTAAGTTATAGTCAAACTTAAGTTTAATATCCCATTGAAAATTGAAAAGGTGAAACTTATTCCGAAACATGTTATGAATCCGATTGTAAGTAAATAAATAAAGTGTACCTACTTAATACTTCGAGTACTGGAAAAATACTACATTAAATTATTATCAAGCCAAATTTTGTTCCCAAAGATTATTTATTAAAGTAAGTGATACGTCTTACAACTATTGAAGCCTTGATTAGGTTACCAGTATCTCTTTGATGTTAGTGGGGAATTATTTCACGGCTGCGCAATAAAAAATATATTTGGAGCAGGCCTTGAAATTATTATTTGCCGTTTATTTATAACAATGACTTCAGAAAATCCACACTTTTTCAATGAATCTCCCCCATATCCCCAGAAAGTCGGACTTTAGAATTATTGATCCAGTTTTTTCTAGTAAAGAGTAAATAAAATATAGAAAAACATAAATGCTGCAAGATATCGAAACGAAATTTTAACTCTACGTTTAAGTCAACTGGATGATGAGTTAGTTTACAGTTAGATTCAACAGGATGGTGCTGCTGCTCATAGAAATCGAGCAACAATAGATTTTTTAGTAGAATTTTATGACAATAGAATTATTAGTCGCAATACACCAACAACTGGCCGCATAGATCATCTCATCTTACTCCTTGCGAATTCTTTAACATTGACTTGCAAGAATTTCGGATTAGGATAACACACAAAATTAAGGGAAATTAGTCATCTCATGGCATTAAATTCCAAACATACATATTACCAACCCCTTCCTCCTACGGTTTTACGTCTATTGATATCATCATAATGCAAACTCTTATCTTAAAGCAAGTGGTGTGTGGCGTGTCAGTTGCAATTCTACATTGATTTATAGTTCTATGTATACACTAGGGTGATTCAAAAAAAAAATAATTTTTTTTTTTCGTGCAAAAAGGTTCAAAAGTTTGAGCTCTTAATATTAATATTAAGACCGTCCGCATCGCGTTTTTCTATTTCCCATAAGAATAACATGGGAAAATTTTTGTTTGCACCTTCTGATTTTTATTGCTAGCCCGTCGTGTGTCGTGAAAAAAATTCAATCACATATTTTTATAGAGAATTGAACGCTCTACAAAAAGTGTCTCCTATGATTTTGCGAGAAACCTGATAGTTGAAGAGTTATTTTAGGCTAAAGTTAAATTTATCCAAATTTTGACGTTTTTGATGCATTACAATAAATTTGATGGTGCAAAGGTGCAAACAAAAATTTTCCCATGTTATTCTTATGGGAAATAGAAAAACGCGATGCGGACGGTCTTAATATTAATATTAAGAGCTCAACTTTTAACTGGTATTTTTTTACGTTGAAAAGAAACTTTTGAACCTCTTTGACACGAAAAAAAAAATTATTTTTTTTTTTGAATCACCCTAGTATACACAGTTATAGTTGTACAACATGTCAATTACTTTTGTAAAGCTTTTGATAAGTTTGTTAAGTATGGTAACGTTAACCCATCAAAAAATAATTTCCCAAGGAAATTTGTTGGGTGAGTAGTCGATCATTAACGGCTTCAATTTGTTTTTCCTGCCATTTCTAAGGGCGAGCGGTTAGGTCATTCTTAATACCCTTCACGACGTGTTTAAGGGAGGCTACCGTCGAATTTCCAGCTTTTGTTTCTTGTTTCTCATTCTTCTCTGTTTAGTTTTTCATATTTCTTACCCCTGCATTTTTTTTCTTGCTCCGCCACTGTACGTCGGTGCGCAGTTGCCTCGTCGTCATCTCTAGTCTTCTTATCATATTTATTTTTTTTTTCGATTCGATGAGTCAGTTAATCAATTCCATTTTACCTAGATTACCCGGAAATCGTGATTGTAGTACTATACACAATGATTACTATTTATATTAAGCATAATTTGAATTAGTTGATTTAACACAATTTGGGGTGTTGATAGAGACAAATTTTGTTTGTTTGAAATACTACAAAAATTTAAAAAAACGTTGTTGTATTTTTTTAGGCGCTGTTCGAGATTTTCGTTCTTTTGAAGGAAACAAGCTTGATATTGAAGAAAATAACATCACAGTTATATCATGCAATTGTTCGAACTTGGATTTTCATCTAGTACTCAAAAATGGACACGTTAAACGCTACATATCCAGAAACAAAACTCATGGATGTTATACCTACGAAATTGTGTCCACCTCCGAAAAAATGCAGGTTGTCCACAATGAGGAAGTAGTGGCAACAGCAGAGGATGATTTGAAGAAAATGGTCTTGAAATGTACTTCAAAGTATGCTTCGTGGAAAATTTTAAAGAGTAAGTCTATACTTATTTACACTTTGTACTAAAAATGTTTTTTATCAAAATGATTCACCATTATTCCATATCAGCTATTTTAAGATCTCTCAATGTAAATAATTTCTACTGTTATGATAACACAACATGCAATGCAAAACTTACGAACAAAACTGTGAAAATCTCTGGCCTGTAAATTTTGCAAGACCTACGATCAGGTTCAGTCATGACGTGATCTAAGTAGGTATATCATTTCAAAATTATCGGACGAGTTAAAAACTTGTGTGGAGAATTTCATCTAACTTTTTTTCAGCTGAATTGAATATTACAATTCAGATTAGAACGTCTGTCTAGTCTAATCTGTTTGTAAATCTATCAATTTACTAATTCATATAACTACATACATTTTAAAATTTTTAGCTTGCTGGAACGCTTTGGAGTCGCATCCTTGTCGTATCGATTGCCCTTATCGACACTGTCGAGAATGCAAAGACAATAGTGGACTTGACGTTGCAGGTAGGTACAGTAAATCCAGACAAGTTTTATATACTTACATTTGAATACATACCTACTTTGTTCTTAATACATGCACATGATATGGCTTACAGTTACTTAACTACAATATAATTTTTACAGATCATAATACTCCAGCATCCTCTCCCGGGCACAAGAGTGTAATTAAAAATGAAACACACACACAAAACTCCTGTGACTCTCCTAATTTAAGTAAGCATTTTATCATCAGGTACTTTAACACCCACAACAATATATCGAGTATCCCAACGATCTGGTAGAGGAAACTCCAACATATTTCTAAGCAACCAACGCACAAGACACATATTTTCACAAATTTCGTGTTTTTCAACGAGAAAACTATTAAGTTCACATTTCAAAACCATACCATTTAAAAAAATACACAAATGGTTGGGTTTCCATCAAACTTTTTAGTTATATTGGCTTAAGATATAAATATATAAACATTGTTTAATTTTTTGTATGCAGATAACTAAAAATTTTAAATGTGGCGAAGTTAGAATTAAAACAAAATTTTGTTGAACATACTTTGTACACAGGATGTTACATTAACTAAGAGCATTAACATTTAAAAATAATTACATCAGTCAAAGTCAAAAAATCATAACACCCTGTATATAGGTAGGTAAATAAAATCATGTACAATGCAACTTGAATTCAAATCCAAGTTTTTTCTATTGCTATGAAGTCAAATGTTAAAATATTTATTTATCAATTGATTGTTGTTTTTTTTTTAGTACTCTACACTATGCTTATAATACTGGCTATATTGATGGCACTTGCAATGATCTACCTTTGCTGGAAGTACGTAAAATACAGAGTAGAGACTAGAGAGAAAAAGGAGGAGAAATATTTCACATCTTGTACGTCCCTATTGCGAGCATGAAAATTTATTCCAACAACTGAAAACTTCTTTGTCAAATATAAGGCTGCTTGTCAATCCGCCAGAAGAATTAGTGATAGGTACTTGATAAGATATGCATATAAGAGAGATATCTTGCAGATAAAACTAATCCTTGTTTTGTTTCACAATATTTCTGTAATCATAAGGACGACAATTTGTCAAAATATGTTTTTTCAAAATTTAACTCTAAATTGTAAATTTAATTTATTCACAAAAAAATGTGTTATTTGATCTAATTTTGTACGTAGCCATCTTCTGTAATTCATAGAGATATTGTTTTGTAGCTACTTATAAGTTTTTAAGATATTTTTTATTATGCAGGTGTATGTACCTTTTTTTCACATAGCCCTAAGTAAATATTTTAAGTAACAAAGGAGAAGCGGTAAATGAAATTTTGTCCAGTATTGAATTAGAAGAATTTACTAGAACTAGTAAACTTCGGTGTTTATATTACATTATTTCTTTTATAATAAATTTAGTTACATCTTAAAATTATTTATTTTACTGAAAATTCTGCACGTATTATACTTAGTAGTTTCTTAGTTTATGCGTAATTGCAGAAAAGTTTGCAATGGATATTTCCGAAAAAATATATGGATTAAATGATTGTTGAACCACCATTAAAAATTTTTTACTGCGGGTAGCGTTGCTTAACTAACATTAGCAGTGAGAGGACCATATCCATATTATTAATAAATGTGAATATTCATTCTATTGTAAAATAGCGCTCTTTATAGTAGATTATGTTTTTACACAACAGTCCAGATATGTTCAATATCACTGCGCATTAAATACGAGTTTTCTGCTTTCATGACATAGGTACCCTTTCATTTCGGATGAATTATTGGTTGCCTATTTACACTGGAAGAATTTTCTTTCGTTTACAACAAATTTAGTTACATTTTAAGATTATTTATTTGCTTAGTCTATGGTTAATTACAGAAAACTTTTTTCTTGCTTATTACTATGAATACTTATCTGCAAAAAAGAAAATGGTTCAAAATGCAGTCTAATCAGTACCTTGATTAATTCTTCTCATTTCCCGAGAATTACCTACAATTGAATACTTTTTATCAAAGCTACTTTTTGAAATACCTACCATAAATGAGGAAAGTGTGGTGGAAATAATTTCGTAATTTATTTAGAATGCATTCCCATAATTATAACAAAATAAAATTTTCATTTTATTATTTAGTGCATGGACAAAAATAAAGATGCCGCTGTAATTTAAATGGAAGGATTAAAATATGATATGCTCTCCGCCCGCTGCAATTTATGTTTGCCGAAACTACCAGAATTAAGCTGGAAACACGTGATGTGTAATATTTCGCTCATTGGTTGTTTTCAACTTGGGGGTCCAGGAATTTTGTCTCACTCTATGCCATGGCAATTTTTATGGTGTTTAGTCACTTTGGTCAGGTGGTGGTGGACCAATCACTGCACAGGATAGAAAGCAGGCAAGAGGATACGTTTCAGTATTCATGCGGACTAATCACACAGAAGAGGCGGAGTCTTTCAAAGGCACTGAGTTTAATTTTTAAAATTGATTTTGATGAAATTCAAGACCAGGGAAATTGTAAATGAGTTTTAAATTGTATAAAGTAACATAGTCCTAGACATTTAGTTTATGACTCCGAATTGAATTTTCACCGAAACGTCCAAATTAAAAACAAAAATCAAAATCTTGAAACAACATTTTGCAGTTTAATTTGGAATCTGCAAAACCGAATGCTCTGAAATTTTGCAGATGGTTTACAGTTATGATAAGCATGATACATTTTTAATTAAAATATATTTAGGGTAAATGTGTACAAGAGTGCGAATATGTATAAGAGTACGCACTGATAATTTCTGCTTATTAGTGCCATCTGGGTAAGATGAAGTTGTACCATTCAGAATTTAATGCTAAACCTGAGATAAAGGCGCAAAAGTGACCTGAATATAGTTTATAGTTTGGTCGTATACTGACGATTTTATGTTCACACGTTGTGTGGATGTAATTTTTACCGCTCATAGTTTTAGTTTTTTGTAAGGTACGTACCAGTTCTTTTATTTTACAGTAATAATTTTCATTAGCTGTAACTTTTAAGGTCTCGTTATACACTAACAGTTTTATACTTTCTATCCATCAAAAGCTTTTAACTTTGAAAACATTAAGACCCGATTTATAGAAAGCGAAGTTAAAGTTAATTCGCGATTAACTTTTAATTGAGGTCCGTTGCGAGGCAACGCGCATGTTTTGACCAATCACGGGCTCATATTCCACATTATAATTCTCTGTTAAACTAATCGAGGATTAAATATTTAACTCGCTGTTCTATAAACCGGCCCTAGGTTATGTAAAAATGTACAAGAGTGCGCAGCGAGGTATTGTATAAGAGTGCGCATTGCTTGCGATACGTAGTCTAATAGTCTTGTAGATACATATCATACGATAATGAATTATTTAACTCTACTACTTTGTACTACTTCTCAAGTTGTGTGGTGGTGGTTATGGTGAATTTTTTTTTATTTTTACTTCCTGAGCGTGTTGTAATCGAGTCCGTCGACCGACTCTCTATTTTTACGTTTTCTCGTCTTTTCAAGACCCCTAGAGTACGAAGAAATAGGTCTCCCGTTTTATGTGTAGTCTGTAGTCACGTATTCCCATTTATTTTCATCTTAGAAACAAATATTTTTTCATAAAATGTAATGCGCACTCATAAGCGTTGAAATGTGCACTCTTGTGCAATGAACTGTCTAAGAGTGCGCATTTACACATCTTGACAAAAAGTGAAATTACTCTTAAAATATAATGGTCTTAGGACGTACAATTAAATACATCTGATCTCTAAACATGTATATAACGAACCTATATCATAAAATTTGTCTATCCAAAAAAAATAAAAAGTTGTTAACAGTTTTACACTAAGTGCGTACTCTTGTACACATTTACCCGTAAATGTGTACAAGAGTGCGCATATGTATAAGAGTACGCACTGATGATTTCTGCTTATTAGTGCCATCTGGGTAAGATGAAGTTATACCATTGAGAATTTAATGTTAAACCTGAGATAAAGGTGCAAAAGTGACCTGAATATAGTTTATAGTTTGGTCGTACTGACGATTTTATGTTCACACGTTGTGTGGATGTAATTTTTACCGCTCATATTTTTAGTTTTTTGTAAGGTACGTACCAGTTCTTTTATTTTACAGTAATAATTTTCATTAGTTGTAACTTTTAAGGTGTCGTTATACACTAACAGTTTTACACTTTCTGTCCATCAAAAGCTTTTAACTTTGAAAACATTAGGTTATGTACAAATGTACAAGAGTGCGCAGCGAGGTATTGTATAAGAGTGCGCATTGCTTGCAATACGTAGTCTAATAGTCTTGGAGATACATATCATACGATAATGAATTATTTAACTCTACTACTTTGTACTGCGTCTGAAGTTGTGTGGTGGTGATTATGGTGATTTTTTTTTTATTTTACTTCCTGAGCGTGTTGTAATCGAGTCCGTCGACCGACTCTCTATTTTTACGTTTTCTCGTCTTTTCAAGACCCCTAGAGTACGAAGAAATAGGTCGCCCGTTTTATGTGTAGTCTGTACTCACTTATTCCCATTTATTTTCACCTTAGAAACTAATATTTTTTCATAAAATGTAATGCGTACTCATAAGCGTTCAAATGCGCACTCTTGTGCAATGAACTGTCTAAGAGTGCGCATTTACACATCTTGACAAAAATTGAAATTACTCTTAAAATATAGCGGTGTTGGGGCGTGCAATTAAATATATCTGATCTCTAAACATGTATATAACGAACCTATATCATAAAATTTGTCTATCCAAACAAATTAAAAAGTTGTTGTCAGTTTTACACTAAGTGCGTACTCTTGTACACATTTACCCTAAGCACAGTGAGTCATCTTCATCTGACAAGTAGAATTCCACCAGTGGCGGAAGTTTATTTCAAAAGTCAAATTATAATCACAGTAGTTCTGAAAAGAACTGTTTTCTAAATCGCAACTTATAGCAGAAGAACACAACACAAAAATATAAACACAAGTGAACACTACGAAAAATATTTAACGAATGACGTGTTGACAACGATTTATTTACTGAAGCTTATGCACGCCAATGGGGGATGCGACCACCCCTTAAATTTAAAAATAGACTTGGTCCGACTCATTTTCGTTTGCTGCACAAGTTTATAGGTGTGTTTATCTGAAAAAAGTCGTCATGTAATTTTAGATTTTGTATCGTCAAAAACTGTCTGAAAATTCTGAAAGTGACAAATAGCATCTAACATTAGTGAAGCGTAATTTAAAATTATTTATTGATTTACATGGTAAAAAATTTTGTGCGAATTGTATTTGTTTGAATTTCAAATGTGTTTTACGAGTATGATATTTGGCACTTATTATTTGTTACATTTTAAAATTATTTGTTTTATTAAAAATTCTACAGCATGTAACGTTCTTGAATATAAGCCAGAATGTCTGAGGACCGGCAATTACTGATTTGGGAAAGAACCAACAGAACACAATGGCTGGATCGCTACTGCCAATGACAAGCTAGTGTAAGAGGGGCGGTCCGTTCTTAGTGTTTAAGGAGGAGCTGAACTAGATTTCGGCATGGGGAAAATAACGTAAAACGGGGGTACGTGTTTTGTGAAGAAATGCCATCACATTTTTGGTGGGGTTGATTAGAAAAATTTTAGTTAACGTTTTACGATCTACATGAGATTCCTAATACATCTACATACACAATTTGACAACAATCGCTCCAGTATTTTCGGAGTTTATCGGTCTAACAAAAATCGTCAGGGACGGCGGACAGACAGACGGAAACTGAACATGAAATTGTTCGCAGAAATCACGTAGTAGGAAGTCCCGTATTTATTCAAGCTTCATTCTTTTGTTCATAAATTTAAAACTACAGTTTCTGGATGTTTTACTTAAGCATTGCTTGACCCTCGAGATTGCTAAAATTTCATTTATAGTATTCTGAACTGGTTTAAACTTTGATTATTTTGGGAGCAAAGACCTTGAAAAGTTGCGGTTAATTTTTTTGGACTCGGAAAAGCTTACAGGTTTAATATTATTTTTGTAGGTATATTCTCATTTGAATATGTGTTTATGTTTTTTATTTGTATTTCTTGTTTAAAACTCTTGATATAGTGTGACATAACAGGCATGTGTTAGCTTTTCAGTCCAGTAATTTATTTAATCATCGAATTTTGGGAGTAGGTACAAATTTCCGGTCACATGTAAAACGGATGTCAACGCGGACACTTTTCTGATTTATTCTCAACTTTGCATTTTCAATCAAAAATTAACAACAAAACGGACGAAATGAAGTTCGCCAGTAAATTACGGCAATGTTAGCACGAGATTTTACCTCGAGTTTGTCTGGTACCTTTCCTAGATTTCTTGCTGGGGCAGTACGCAAGGCTGGTGGAAGATAGGGTCAATTATGTAACAGGTTTTGCGGTCCGAGGCTGATTGTCTGTTGTGGTTCGTGAATTTTTAACACCACGAAAAGCTAAAAAGTGAGGAGTTCTGTCACCCAGATAAGAACCATCCATCCAGTAACCGTGACCTGTGATTTGGACTTTAGTTTTGTTTATATTTAAATTTGTCGCCATATATTCGCAATAACTTGTAAAGATATTTGCAACCAGTTACTTTAATTTATTTTTCTTTTGTTTTATGATATTTAAATATGCGATAAAAAATGCAAACAAAGTACACTGAGCAGTGAGTTAGTCGAAACGGAGTTGTGTTGTAGTGCAGTGAGAATATATTCAACAGGATGGTCTCGTTCGTAAGACTTTCATTTGGCGCATTGATTTTAGTTACGTTAACCTTTGAAAAAATAGATACACAAGACAAGTTGTTGGGTGAGTAATAACTACCAGAGCGCCATATCTTTCATTATAATAATATTAATAATAATAATAATAATAATTTTATTCATACATTACATCCCAGACGGGATGTTTGTACATGTCAGGAAAAGTATATTAGATCACTAAATATATTGTAAAATTTATAAAATACAATAAGTACAATGTAAATAAATACCAAACAACATAAATACAAACATTTTACTACACAATAGATTTGTCTTCCAGAAATTCGTCATAACTGTAGTAGTCACTGCTTATTAACAATCTTTTTGCGTTATCTTTTTTAAGGTAATGTGGAATCTTATTATGAAACTTTATAGTGAAATAATTAACCGCATCTTGGGACTTCTTTAGTCTTATTTCTTTCGGGCACAAATTGTTTTTATGTCTTGTGTTGTATTCATGAAAGTCACTATGAGCGGAAAATTCATTTTCATGTTTTTTAATGTAGTTTAGGCAAGTAAAAATGTACAAAGAAGGTAGCGTCATTATATTTAGCTTCCTAAATTGTTCTCGGCAATCTTCTCTGTACTTTAAATTTGAAACAATTCGAATTGCTCTTCTTTGCAATTGAAAGAGTCTATGACGTATGTCCCCATAATAATATTCCATATAACAAGTGTGACTCACATAAAGCGAAGTAAATGTTGCGTAAATATTCTCTGGGTAAATTTTCTTTCAAATGTCGCAATAGGAAGATATTTTTGCTGATTTTTTTTGCAGTATTTTCTCCATTACTAACCCATGAGAGTTTAGAGTCCAAACTGAAGCCCAGAAAGTTAGTGTTTGATTGAAAGCTGGGTGGGATCTCTACTTTCTTCAAAGTAAAAATCATCGTAGTTGATTTGTCAACATTCAGAACAAGATTGTTCGCTGTGAACCAATCAAAGGCTTCCGATTGCGCTTCAGCACTGACCATGTCTGGTGCTACGTCCGATATTAATTTGTTTAGCAATGTGGTATCGTCTGCGTATAATACCTACTGAATCAGAGTTTAAGTTAGTTGGTAGATCGTTCACAAAAATTAAAAATAGGAGAGGTCCTAAGATGGAACCTTGGGGTACTCCTTGATTAATCGGAAGATGGTCCGAAAATATTTTGTTAAATTTAACTAATTGTTGACCATTCTCTAGATATGATTTTAGTAATTTACAACTTTCTTCATCAATATTATACGCAGATAATTTTTTCAGAAGGATATTATGTGACACGCAATCGAAAGCCTTCGACAGATCAAGAAATGTCACGATTGCTGTTTCTTCTGTTTCGAAACATGATGTTATATAATTTTGTAACTTGAGAACAGCGTCTACAGTGGACAAGCTTTTTCGATATCCGAATTGATTTCCCGTGAATAGTTTTTTACTTTCGAAATAGCGGCTCAATTGACGAAATAATACCTTTTCTATTACCTTCGAAGAAATTGGCAGTAGTGCAATTGGGCGGAAATTACTTGGGTTATTCAAGTCACCTTTTTTATATATCGGAACTACAACCGCCGTTTTTAAACAATCAGGAAAAATAGATTCCCTAATGCAGATATTTATTAACTTTGTTAGGGGGGAAATTAGTATGTTTTAACTGTGCTCAACAGGTTAGTATTGAGGTTATAGACATCATTCGAATTGTTTTTTTTTAACTATTTATGGCATCTCTGGTTGTTATGCAAGAAATTTCACTAAAACTAAAAGTTTCTGAATTGGATAGGGGGACTTTTTGTGCTAGAAAGTTTAAAGCATCTATTTTTGATGTTGTTGCAGGAAATTGGGGTGCCAGATTTGTAAAGTAATTATTAAATTCAGTACTAGTGATTGAGCTATCTAGATCGTTTATTGCATGCGAGTATTTATTACGTTTTTGGTTAATAATGTTCCACATTGCCTTGTTCTTATTATTAGAGCCTTCGATAGATTTTTTATTATAGTTAATTTTCTTGGACTTTAGCTTACTTTTGTATAAAGTACGAAACTCGTTTCTTGCTTTTCTAGTTTGTTCGGTTCTTAGAACAGAATATATTGTGTTTAAAGAATTCAACGTGTTTCTCATTTCAAATAATTCTTTGTCGAACCAATTTATTTTATTAAAGCTTTTGCTGTTATTAATTTTTTTGTGAACTTCTGGAAAAGCAAGATTTGCGTAATGCGTAACGATTTCAGTAAACCTAGAAAATTTAGCATTAATGTCTAAGCTAGTGTCATCGACAAAACTCCAGCCAACTGTTTTTAGTGCGTCTATCCGAAGTTTACCCCATTTATTCGATCTTGACTTCGTACTAAATCTATATTCTCTCCGTCAAATGACATTTTAAAAAGAATAGATTAAAGCATGGTACAGACGGGACCATTAATAATGACCGCCTCCCGTGCAGGGCTGCCGTTTCGGTACAATCGTACATACGTCACTACTACATTCTAGGAAAAGGAGCAAATTCAACAAAATTGTTATCCAAGAACTAAATTAAAAAAATAAAATATAAAAAAAATTGATAGTCGTAAAAAACAGTAAACAAATTATATTTGAACAAAGGAATCTGTAATTTAGGTACACTGGTAAGTATGTCAACTATTAGGCGGCAACTACTACAAGATTTCAACATTTTGTACTGCCGCCCTCTGTTCTAGAAATACCAGACTAAAATTACAACAAACTGTTATGTAGTAGTTCCTCGAAGTTATAAAATGCATATGCATTCATGCAGTTTAAGTGGTAGTTTCATAGAACATAGTGTTTTATTCACCATTCGATGTTTGAAATTATTAAATGTTTAAATTTCCCGCCAGTTAGTACATTTTGTTCGAATTTAGTACATTTTCTGTTATGCTTTTGGTACATTATTAAAAGTTGCTCCCGTGGCCATGGTCCTAGGTATGGACTGCCGAAAGTATCCGAGCCCTTGAAGAAAGCTGAATTTCGATAAATACAGGTCCGTGTTTGCAGTTGTAACCTTGCCTTTCTCGAAAGGTTCGAGTAGTCTCGGCAGTCTGTTGTTAGGACCGGGACGTGGTCATTATTAATGGTTCCATCTGTACAAGAAGACATATGGTATGCTATTCCTGTGGATGAATTTTCGTCTGCTGTGCACACCAGCCACGTGACGTCACATTACCTTGAAAACCGTAGTGCCCTTCTGACAACTTCGAAAGCTGTCAAATATCAATTTATCAATGATATGTGAGGTTATAACGAAGGTTGAGATTTGGTTCAGTTTTTAATCCTAATCCTAAATACCTAACATGTGTTCAAAATTTGACATCGTTCATTGACGAACATCCAACAAGCTAGAATTTAAAGTTTGCAGTCATGATATCCACATGACGTCACAGAAAATGCGCAATATCATAGCCTGTGTTCTTGTACCATGGACTGGAGGGAGTACGAACTATCTACGCAATGTAAAATTTCCGTTACTACTCCCGGACAGATTCAGATACTTTGTATTGCAGTTTTCAAACTACCCGCGCCGAAAATTATTTCGCCATTGCGAATCCAATGTTCCACCATTTGTTCACATCTTCTGTAAAAGGTTTAAAGGTCGATTTATACTTTTGTGGCTGACGTTGCTGTTCGCCGTTGACGTTGCAGTTTTCAGAAAAAAGGTCGATTTATAAACTTGTCGTTGACGTTGCTGTTCTCCGTTGACGTTGTCGTTGGAAGATAAATGTGAAGCAAAAGTATGCGTCGTTTATATCATCCGTTGACATCGCAGTTAGAAGTTGGCACGCCGTTGGGATGACGTTCGAGATGCTCAACTTTTATCTTTCGTCGTTACGTTCCGTTGACGTTGAGTTTTCAACCAGTCAGAATGCGGTGGTGTACAGTGCTACCACCTTAAAGGAAAATTCCCTGACGTAGGGGGAACATGTTTTTTATTGACAGCAATAATTTCACCAAAATCAAATTTTGATACCTAGATAATGATGTCCAATAATATTAAGCCATTTAATCGCCGTTTCACCGAAACCCTCATATTTTAAATAGCTGCTATCATTTTCTACATTGTAACTTTCTGTCAGTACTTATGCATTGTTAAAGACCGTTCTCCACGTTTAAATTAACAAGATTTGTTACTATTCGTCTCAAAAACAGATTAGGTATTACGAGTATAACTACAAGGACTTACATTTTGACCTTTTTTTTCTTAATATGGGTAGTCTTCTTTTCACAACAAGACAGTTAAACATTATTAAAATAGTAAATTTTTGTAGGGAAGTATCGATTTTGCAATTAAGCTCCGCCCCTCCGTCTGACAACGAATGAAAAATCCATCACAATTGAGCTTGGGATGGATATGGGTGGAGATTAATTTTTGGCTTGTTTTTTTCTTAATATAGACAGTATTCTTTGAACAACACGATACTCAAAAACATGTTTTTTATTTCTCGTACAGAAATCATTGCAGTTAAGTTCCGCCGCCTTGGGTCACGACGAATAAAAAAATCATCACTATTGAAAAACTGTATGTTTAAAATGGCAAATTTGTATAGGGAAATATGGATTTTGCAATTATGCTCCGCTCCTCAGTCTGACAACGAATAAAAATTCATTACGATTGAAATCGAAGCGGATGGGTGGGCTTTTGGTTGGTTTTCTTTAATATATTTAATTTTCTTTGTATAACACGATTATTTAAGAACATATTTCACATAGTAATTTTTCGTAGAAAAATAAGGATTTTACAATTAAGCTCCGCCCCTCGGCATACGACGAATAACAAAAATCATCAGAATTGGAACAGGGAGGGTGGGCGGGGCTTATATGTTGCCTATTTTGTTAATATACATAGCCATCTTTTCACAACAAGAAATTTAAAACACGTCTAAATTGGTAATTTTTGTAGTAATCAACTGAAATCCTCCACTTTTCTTCTACAACCCCTTTAAATACGGCATTAATTGAATATCAAAGTTATACTATCGACGGCAACTTGATAACGCAGTTTGTAGATGACAATTTTCAGCTCTAAAAGAAACGCCAACGGGAACAGCAACTGCAACGGGAACTTCAATATCAAAAGCGAGTTTACAAATTTCACTTAACACAATTTGAGATTTTGATAGATAGGAATTTTGTTTAACTGAAATACTACTAACAGTGTGACATTTTCACAAACAATTTCAAAAACACAATATTGTTAGGTATATTTTTCAGATCCTGGTCGCGATATCCGTTTTTTTAAAGGAGAACTAATTGATATTAAAGAAAATAACATCATAGTTATAATATGTAATTGCCCGACTGTAAACTTTCATCTGATACTCAAAAATGGATATGTTAAACGCTACACCTTCAGAAGCAAAACTCGTGCATGTTATACATACGAAATTGGCTCCACTTCCGAGAAAACGCAGGTAGTCCGCAGTGGGGAAGTTGTGACAACAGCAGAAGATGGTTTGGAGACAATGGTCCTTAAGTGTTCTTCAAAATATGCTTCCTGGAAAATTTTAAAGAGTAAGTCTATATAATATTTACACCGTTTATACATTAAAAGAAAATACAATAGGTTTTGTAGTTCATTCGCATTGATTTTCTTCGGTTAACTTTCAATTTTAACAACAAAATTTGCGTTGAAACAACTGTGTGAAAGTAAAAATTATGTTCACGACTTCTGATAAATGCATTTCGTTGCTAGCATTATTAAAACACTACCAATTCTGACGAAAATCTATCAATCTACTCATTTATACTTAAATACAAACATTTTAAAATCTTCAGCCTGTTGGAACGGTGCCGAGTCACATCCTTGTCGTATCGATTGCCCTCGTCGACACTGTGACGAATACGATAGCCAACTTGACGTTCGAGCAGGTATAGTACAGACAAACAAGTTAACCATATTCATTATATACAAAATATAAGTAAGTATAACGAAAATATTGTTAACATTTTAATTAAATAAAAGTAGCGTTTTTATTGATTACCAACACAATCCCCTCATGTGCACAAGAACATTCCTAATAAAAAAAAAGCATATTATCATCAGATGCTTTAACACCCACGTTAATACATCCCAAAGATCTCGTTTTTTATCGTGGATTACTAAAAAGAAACGTAAGTTCTACTAGAACTCATTTAGGACTACAATTCACAATTATGGTCAAACATACCTAGATACCTAAAAGATGTTCCATTGGAAGCTTACTCCATTTTGTTATGGTTATCAATTTATTTGTTTACGAATTTATTTATTTATTTTTTTTTTATAGTACTCTTCAGCATACTTCTAGTACTGACGATTTTCACAGCACCAGCAATCCTTTACTTTAGTTGGATACGCAGAATTGACACTTAAGGAGGAAACACCGGATCTTTTTTTAACTCTAGCAGCCTTATGTTCACTTCTAAAAAACACAGTTCAATGCATTGCAACTATAGGTACAACCAATGTTACGTCAAAAATACATACTTGATTTTGGAGAATAAGAAATTCTAAAATATGATCCACGACCGTTGTAATATAGGTTGCATATTTTCAATGCATTAATCTGTTTTTTTTTTTAATAGGTATGTGTAGAGTAAAAAATGTTAACTGTTAATCGTTGCTTTGTTTTACATTATTTCTCAAATGTACATAGGTTTAGGTAATTATCGTTATAAGGACATCAGTTAGTCATTTTTGTTCCAAATTTAACACGAAATTAAACTAAATACAAAAAAAAAAAATATATACAAAATTGTAGTTTGACGTAGTTTTTTAATTTATGTTATTGGCAGCTGGTTCCAGCTGATAAAAATTAAGACTTAATGTTAATTTTATTCATTTTGGGCGTTTTGGCAGGCATATAATACCCGTTATCTTTTTCAACAATCGCCTGTTGGGTTGAGTCAGAAATGAGGTTACGTGCCCTAATTGTAGTTATAAAATATGTGTAGATAAGGAAACATGTAAAATAAACCTATGTGCAGTTTCAAACTAACTATGGTTTTTGAAAACACAATAAAATGTATTTTCCCCCTAACGTGTTCAATATCACTTACGTCAAATTAAGTTATACATAATGGCTGCCAGAAGTCACGTGATCGATAGTGCCTGCTTCTGGTTGGCACTTTCTACCCGTTTCTTATTGGTCTACGAAGATGTGGTTGTATGTACACCAGCGGTCCTCAAAATGTTTATGTAGGTATTAGGTATTATCAATGATCTAATAACTAATGGATGGATTGTTGAGGCGCGTAATACCGCTCGCATGCGGTGACAACTAGAGAGAGAAATAAACATATCTACAGTGAGTGTTGTTAGACAAGGCCAACACGTATCGGTAGGCAAGAACGAGCTTCGGTGCCGTTGAGTTAAATAGGAGATCATGTAAAAATGATTTTAAAATTCAACTTTGTTGTCGTTTTTTTTTATTTTGTAGGACACTGTATATACATACAATACAAAATGAATATAAACACACAATTTATTGAACAAAATTAATTTTGTGTATACCTGTCTGATTTTATTAGGAACTTGATTATTTCTGCGGTTTTCATAATTCAGTCTAATAATAAAAAAATACGTAAAATTACATAAACCAACTGGACTACATGATTGTTAAGTGGATCTTGATCCAAAATGTGGTCATTTAAGACATTAAACATATTTCTGAAATTTAGTAATCTAATGGTTTTAATTGTAAGAATATTAATAACATTCGCTGAAATATTATATTTCATAGTTCTGAAAGTGGTTTCAGCTATCTTACAAACTTTGATGACATCAACTGATGGCTTTGTAAGTTCACCTCTGTTTTTTTAAATTTAGCAGTGCCGAAAGGGTTTCATTGGGTCTCATTGTTAGTCAGTTTTCTAGGCCTTGTTTCATTTTTTTTTTATGTTTTGAAAAATTCTCAGTTGTTGTGTGGGATTAACAGAATTTATTAACTGCCGAAAATTCTCATTTTTAAAATGTTTGCTAGACACTCTTGACGCAGACGTCCGAACAAATTTATCTCGTTTAAGTGCAACAATCCATTGCTTTCTTAGCAACAGATTTGTCGGAAAACTGAAATTAAATTAAATAAAGATTGTATGAAAAAATTATTCAGCAGATATCTCACCGATGAAATGAAATATTACAGCCTTTGTGATGCCGCTCCTCGCATCCAAATGCACAACAAGATGTAACCATCGTGAATATGATTGTTATTATTGCGATTGTAAGAAAACAAGCACTTTAGAACTGCACAGAAATGCCACACACACCAGGAAGCGAGTAATTAAAAGTAAATTTTAACTGGAAGTTGCTTTGTTTTGCCTACCGATTCGGACCTCTCAAATGGTCACCGTACCCTCTCTCTCTAACGTCTCTCCAGTCTGAGATCTCTATGGGTATTATCACGTATGACAGATTATTATTTACAATTTTTAGTGGTTTTTGTTGCATCGCTTAACACCGGAATATTTTTGGATCATTTAGAAGTGTTTAAGTACCTACTTTGCAGTCAGGTTAAAATGTTTCATGTTCCGGTCCATTTCCGCACATCGTTAGACTGGTGCCTGGAGTGCATTAATCCCTCGCTTTAATTCCGATCCAAACTGATAAGAGCATCACCTGTTGTAAAGTATATAAACAAATTTTAGATAACCCTTTTTAAATTTCATACAAATAGAAACAAATCTGTAGGTAAGTAAATAAGATAGACTGGGCAGAATTTTATATCGCTTAAAATTTTGCAATTCTTGCTATGAATCCCTACTTCCAGATACGATTTTGAAAAATGTGCCTCATATATAAATCTATAGGTAACAAATTTTGTGGTTGCATGAATGAAAATATTGTTCAAATAAACAATTATTAAAATATTTTTTAAGATATATAGGAGTATTTATTTACTTCGAGTGTTAGAGTAGTCGGATTAGTGAACGTCCGACCTGGACCGGAGCTGAGGTTTACCGGTACGTAATATGTCCCTACTTTTAAGCCTTTCTGTTTTTAAACTGAACATCAAACGCGTGCTAACATTTTTTTTTGTTTTATGTGAAATATATAATTATGTTCACCTTATTATTATTTATTTACGTCTTTAAAGTGCTACCGGATTTTGATTAATAATAATTATTTATTTTTGTTTGATCACCTGATTGTCATTATCATGACCTGCCTCCTACGGTTAACGATAACACCTTAATAAATAACTCGTATGTTCGAATTCTACATTCATAGTTGCACAACATGCCAATCACGTTTGTAAATATTTTCGTAAGCGTGTTAACTCTAGTAATGTTAACCCATCAAAAAGTAGTTCCGCAGAAAAATTTGTTGGGTGAGTAGTCAATCATTCCAGATAGTGATCCAGGCTTCGGTCTGTCTTCCCCACAACTTTTATTATTAAACCCTTCACGACGCGCTTGATTTGGTTAATTTAACACAATTTGTTTGTTTGATATACCTACCTACTACTAGTGTACACATTTTTACAAAAATTTAAAAAAACATTGTTGTTGCATTTTTTAGACCCAGCTCGAGATTTTCGTTTCTTTGAAGGAAACAAGCTTGATATTGAAGGAAATAACATCACAGTTATATCATGCAATTGTACGAACTTGGATTTTCATCTAGTACTCAAAAATGGACACGTTAAACGCTACATATCCAGAAACAAAACTCATGGATGTTATACGTACGAAATTGTGTCCACCTCTGAGAAAACGCAGGTTGTCCACAATGGGGAAGTAGTGAAAACAGCAGAGGATGATTTGAAGAAAATGGTCTTGAAATGTTCTTCAAATTATGCTTCGTGGAAAATTTTAAAGAGTAAGTCTATATATATTTACACTGTTTATACTCGTACTACAAATGTTTTTCATCGCGTGCCCTCCATGTCAGCTACTAGATCTCCGCGACATAAATAATATCACTGTTATGATAACGTAATATGCAATGCAAAAAATGCAATCTTAATTAAAAATGATCACTGTATTTGTAAAATATTAGGAACCTACGAACAAAACTGTCAACTTCTCTGGGCTGTAAATTCTGCAAGACCTACGATCTATCTATTTTAGTTATGATATGATCTAGATCATTTCAAAATTGTCGGACGAGTCAAAAAGTTGTGTGGCGAATTTTATTTGACTTTTTTTTAATATTATTTATTTGTTTTTTAGTTGAATTGAAGATAACAATTCCGCTTAGGACGCGAAAGCTGTCAACTGCAAAATTTTCTGTATCTGTGTTTCCTGATAAGCGCATTTTCGTTGATAGTGTCTAATGTCTAATGTGTTTGGAAATCTATCAATTCATTCGTTTACATAGATAGATACATTGTAAAGTTTTTAGCTTGCTGGAACGTTTTCGAGTGGCATCCTTGTCGTATCGATTGCCCATATCGATACTGTCGAGAATACAAAGACAATATTCAACTTGACGTTGCAGGTAGGTACAGTACATTCAAACAAGTTTTATATACACATGTATATATAGTTTGTTCTTAATACATGAACATGATATTGTTTCCATTTACTTAATTACAATATAATTTTTACAGGTACCATTGCAGAATCCTGCCCTGCGCACAAAAGTATTATGAAGAATGAAACTCAACATTCGTATGAACGTCCTAATTTAAGTAAGCATGTTATCATCAGGTACTTTAACACCCACAATAATATAGTTATTATGTTTGTACTAAGGTAACTAAAAAGTTTTACAGACGATATTTTAAATGTGGCGAAGTTACGAATTAAAAAATATATTTTGTTATACATCCATACTTCTTTGTACTTCATTTCGTTATCGTTATCATTTTGGTATAAGGCACTATATTTTTTCTATTGCTACAAAGTTACATGTTAAAATCGTTGTTTACTTATTTATTGTTTTTTTTTTTAGTACTCTACAGCACACTTATAATACTGGCAATTTTGATTGCACTTCCAATGATCTTCTTTTGCTGGAAATACGTAAAATACAGAATAGAGACTAAACAGAAAAAGGAGAAGAAATATTTCACATCTTGTACGTCACTATTACACTCTGAGCATTAAAATTTATTCCAAGAACGAAATTCTTCTTGGTCAAACGTAAGGCTGCTTCTCAATCTGCCAGAAGGATAACTGATGAGATGATGGCTTGTGAATGACTAAATTTAAAATATTCACGAAAAAAATGTGTTATTTGATCTACTTTGTATGTAATCACCAATTCTTGTGTACCTAAATGTAGGGATATTCTTAGTGTCTTTTTAAAGTGTTTTGCAATTTATGGGGATATTGTTTTGTAGCTTTACTTTTTAGGTAGGTATAAGTTTTTAAGACATTTTTATTAAGAATGTACCTGTGAAATTGTGCCTACTATTGAATTAGAAGAATTTACTAGTACTAGTAAACTTCGGTGTTTAGGATATTACATTTTTTCTTTTCCAATAAATTTTTTCCTATCTTAAAATTATTTATTTTATTGAGCGTTTACATTTACGTTTTTTGTAGTTCATTACAGTGATTAACTTTGGCAATTTTTTTATACAAGTCGCTGTCCTACCTACTGTTAGTACCTATTATTACATGCTAAGTGTTTCCTATTGTTTGTTAATATAATACAAATTTAAACACTTGAAGATTTAATAAGTACCTACTATAAAAAAATTAAAACCAAAATTGAATTAATAAATAAATAAATTGCATCATTTACAGAAACTCGTAAACTGTGCAGATCTTTGGCACTTGATGTTAATCCAGGTAGGTGGTACAAACAAGTTTTACATTATTTGTGTTCCTTTATTTTTTTTTTAAGAAATGTAAAGCAGCATGTGTTTTACAGTTTATTCAGTTAATATCCTTTAATCGCTTTTTAAACAATAAGATATACTTAGCAAACATATTATCTAAACAATACCTACTAAACGTAATAGGTGCCGGTAGATTTGCTCATCGTTGCACCTTATCAATTATTATTATCGGTGTGATGGCGTGACTGAAAAGTGGGTCGATGAGATCACAAGTTTTGACGTCGCATTGTTACCTTTATTTTCATTGAAAACAAATAAAATTAAACCATAATACAGGGTGCGGCATCCAAGTCTGGACATATGGCAAATTGGTTTTTAGTGATGCCTTTGTGGAGGTCGAAGAGGGCTATCGGCCAGTATTTTTTTCAAATCGTTGCATCGCACTC